TCTGTCTCTCTTCTCTCCATCTCTGTCTCTCTTCTCTCCATCTCTGTCTCTCTTCTATCTCTGTCTGTCTCTCAGTCTCTGTCTTCTATGTCTCTCTTCTCTCTGTCTCTCTTCTCTGTAACTGTCTCTCCTCTCTGTCTCTGTCTGTCTGTCTCTCTTCTCTCTATCTCTTTTTTTCTCTCTCTGTCTCTGGTTCCTCTCCCCCGCATCTCTATCTTTCTCTCTGACACGGTTCCAGTCTCTGGCCTTACCTGGTCTCGTACCAACTGAATGGCGTCTGGTCACTCTAGAGGCCTAGCCCCACCCCAAATTCCAGAGCTATGGGATTGAGGGAGCCATGGAGGTAGGCCAGACTGGTTGGGAGTGATCTCTCCCTTATAGAAGGCCTGGGTTCAAGCCCTGCCCCCGACTGTGGGACCCCCAATCTTCTCCCAGCAGCTTGTATGGGATGACCCCTAAGACCCCTCCCAGCTCTAACCCAGAGATTCTGTGAGCATGCCCAGGTCTGAGTCCATCCTGTGTCCCCAGGAGAATGTAAGCTCCCTGAGGTCAGGACAGGTTTCCTATTAGTCTTTGGATTGAGGCCAGCACAGATTGAAGTTGCTATTTGGCCTGAGGATCTGACTTCCCCGGGGGAGGTTGATAAGAAAGCCCAGTAGAAAGGGCCCGACCTCAGAGTCCAAAGACCCGGGTGGGCTTTTTAGGCCTGGCTCTTCCACTGACCTTCTTGGTAGCTTTGGCCAAACGCCTTCTCCTCGTCGAGCTGGGCATCAGCAAGGTGTCCAAGGAGGGCCAGACTCGGACCCATGAGAATTGCTTCAGGTCCTGGCTCTGGCACAGGCTTTGCCTCTCTGTATCTCAGTTTCTTCATCTGTGGAATGGGCATGGCCCCACCTGCCCGAGAACAGCAACCCCGGGAAGGACGGGAGGAGTGAGAGTTCTTCTATTGTGTTTCCTGCTCCCGGAAGATGAGTCAGTTCACGGAGATGCCTTCTGAGGTCGCTTGCATCTGGGAAGGCTTCGATGTGTAGGTGCCAAACAGGGATGCTTGACAGCCGGCAATTTAGCAAAGAAAATTGTAAGCAATTGGACTTGAGGTCCGGGAACCCTGCCGTTAGCCCTGTGCGGGATCCGCCCCAACAGCACGTCCCCAGCAGGGGCTGAGCCCAGAGAGGGCCCTGCAGAGAAGAGAGGAACGAGCCAGGCCCTCCGGGAGGGGCCAGAGCATCTTTTCCCAGGCAAGGCCCAATCACAAGCAGGCCTCCCCTGGGAGTCAGGAGAGCAGACTTTCCAAGGAACTCTGACTTTCTGGGGGGATCCTGGGTATGAGACTCGAAGGGCTGTCCTGCCTACCCAACAGGCAGCTTGTCAGCTGAGGCAACAATAGAAGCAGGCCTAGTAAACAGAGCTTAATGCTAGTGACTTGTCTAGGGTCACACAGTCAGGATACCTCAGAGGCAGCACCCGAACCCAGGTCTTCCTCTGATAGGATGCATGCTCCCTCACAGGCCACTAGGTGACGCCATAGTGCACAGAGCCCCCAACCTGGAGTCAGTGAGACCTGAGTTCAAATATGGCCTCAGACACAACTAGCTGTGTGACCCTGGGCAAATCACTTCACTTTGATGGCCTCAGTTTCCTCATCTGTAAAATGGGGATAATCATGCCGTAACACTTCTCTCCAAGAGCTGTGCTTAGGAAAGGGCTTGGCAAACCTCAAGGCACTGCAGACATGGGAGGAATCATTATTGCTATTTTTATAGAAAAGGAAACAGAGGCCCAAGGAGACCAAGAAACTGGCCCAAGGTCCTGAAGTTAAGCCGTGGGGGGAGGGGACTCAGTCCTACACTCTCCCCTCCCCCCAGCATGGAACTTTTTGCAGGCCGGCGCCCTCCTGTTGATTCTGTAGCTGGAGACCTTCCCACCCTCCCCCTCTCCCCACCTCCCTGGCTTTCTGGGTTTCTAGGTCCAGCCTTAGGTAAAATTGTGGCCTGCACAGAATTTGTGTTCAGCCCCTCTAGAGTTGTCCTGCTCGGAGCTCCAGCTCTGGCTCGGGGGTGGGGGCCCACAGGCTGGTGCACTCCAAGCAGAGGCCCCAGCAGTGGTAGCGGTCCACCACCCCCTCCCAACCCCCTCCTCCCCGCCCCCATCCCTTTATTTTTCTGCAGGAGGGCTTTTTTCCCACCTAGGAGGTTAGCTCCTTGAGACCAGGGGTGGCATCTAGCCGTGGGCCAGGGACAACCACTGGGGGTAGGTTAAATGGCTTCGAGATTCTTCTGGTGGGGGCTGCCTTTTGCATGCCTGCAGACACCCACACCCACACCCACACATTCAGACTCCATTGTTTCTCTGGGTCACTAGGGTTTGGGGACCCCCTCCCCCATGGGTGCAAAGCCTCAGGGTTGGTCAATTTTGGGGTAGTGTCCCTTCCCCCAGGATAACTATCATTGGGGCAGAAACACTACGCTTGGCTTGGGGAGGAAGTCTGAGATTGGAGTGGTCAGGGCGTCCCTGGTGTAAAGCCCTGGGCCATGCAATGTGAAGACTGAGTTTGAATCTTCTTTCAGCTTCTTGCTGTGCGACTTTGAGCAAGTGACCTCCCCTCTCTGGTTCACAACCCAACGATTAACAAATTTAGGATGAAGAGTGGAGGAAACAGAGGGTGGGGTGCATGGGGCTTGCTGCTACAGGCTCCAGCTATCTGGACTCTCTCTCGGAGTGCTGGGGCTTTGGGCCCAGGCACCCCCGGGTCTTCTGTGGTTCTGCGGGGAGAAAGGGCCATTAGGTAGCTAAGTGCTTCCGACCACGGGAGGGACCGGGGCTGGAGATGAGGGGGGCGGATGGCTGGCTAGGGGTGAGAGGAGGAGGGATGGAGAGGTGAGGAATGGCTGGGGAAGAGAAGAAAAGGGGTGGGGGATGGCCAGCTGGGGGAGAGAGGAGGGACAGAGGGGTGGGGGGGATGGCTGGCTAGGGGAGAGAGGAGGAGGGGCGGGGAGTTGGGGGTAGGGACAGGGCAGAGAGCCTGGACGCCGGCCCCCGTACCTCGGGCCGGGCCCTCCCAGCCTGGCCGCCAGGGGGCCAGCCCCAGTTCCAGTTCCAGCCCCGGACTCCTGGGTTCTGGGAAGGCAGCGGGGCAGGAGGGGGGGCGGGGGGAGAGGGGGCGTGGTCTCCGCAGGCCCCGCCCCGCCCGGGCCGCCCCGGGAGAAAGTCCCGGACCGCGCTGCCTCCTCCTCCTTCTCCTCCTCCTCCTCCGCAGCCCCCGCCGCTGCGCTCGGGCGCGGGGAGCCGGACCCGGACCGGGACCGTCGGGGTTCGAGCCCCCAGCCCGGTGCGGCTCGCCCTCCGCCCTGGCCCCCGGCCCCGGCCCCCAGGGGAGCCATGGCCGGCGCCCGGCCCGGGGTCCACGCGCTGCAGCTGGAGCCTCCGGCCGTGCCCGAGACTTTGCGACGGGGCAGCAAGTTCATCAAGTGGGACGAGGTGAGCGCGGGGCGGGGGGGCCGGGCCTGTGCGCCCCAGTCCTAATCCTCTGCACCCCGAGCCCCCGCCCGTCCCGTCTCCCCCGCGGCCGCTTCTCACGTCTCCCCGGGGCCTCTCTGTGCCTTCCTCCCACGTCGGCTTTCCCTCCCCCCACCCCAGTCCCGGGAGCTCGGGGGACCGTCCGGCGCTGCTGTCCAGAATCCCCAGAGCCCCTCTTTTCCTCCCCTCCTAGACATCGAAAAGGGAGGCTTCGGCTTCTTTGCCCCCAAAACTTCTACCGGAGCAGTCTTCCAGGGACTTCGCTAGACAAGAGACTTTGAACCCCAATAAATCTCCCCAGCGTCTTTGCCTGCCACCCCCCCCACTCTATAGGCGCAGCCACTCTACGGGCGCTCGCGAAATCTCCCCTTCCAGCCCCTGCTGCAAACACTCACGCTCGGGGTCCCCCGCGGCGCCCCGCTAGCTACTGCCTCTCTCTGCGCCATCCTCCTTTCTCTTCTCCCCATTCCGACCTTTTCTCATCAGCCTTCGGACCTCCTTTCCTCCTCGACCCTTTCTCTTCCCCCCGCCCGCTCCCACACGCCCGTTTCCTCCCCGGGTCCCAAAGCCCCCCATCCTCGCCCCAGTTCCAGGCCCTGGGTCCCCTCCCTAGCCGATCTGGGCCGGAGGCCTGGCAGGATTCCCTTTTCCTTTCCGGCTGGGTGGGGCAGGGGGAGCTTGATACAGCTTTGGGTGGCCAGGAGAGCAGAGGGAGGGGGCCTGGGGGGGGTGTGGCCAGAGGTAACAGGTGTGGTGGGGCTCTCTCCTTGGAGAGGAATTAGGTGCTGGGGAGGGGGACGGGAGAAGGTGCTCTGAGTCTGGGGGAGACCCTGCCCCCTGGGAGGCCTCAGGCAGGAAAGTTAGAAAAAGTTTCTCCTTTTCCTTCTGGTGTGATAAACCCAAATAAGGAAGTGGGAACCAAGGAATGAGCCTGGGGGGGAGGGGGGCTGTGGGGGCCAAGTGGGGGCCAAGGAGGAGCGCTCAGAGTCTGTGAGGCTTGGGGCAATGGGCTCATGAAATGGCTGTCCCGCTCCGAGGGGACCCCTTGCCCTACAAACACACATTGTGTTAAGGCCGACTTCTAGGATGAGAGGGTAAAGCTGAGGGTTTGGGGGACCCTGGAGAACAGAAAGCACCTGGGGGAGTAAGATTATCTTATCACTCTCTTATTCCCTCCCCTCCCCCACGGCAGGAGGTGAGAAAGCCCCCTCCCTCCCTCCGTCTCTCCTAGTCCTTGGGATTGGCCCCTGCTGGGAAGGCTGCTTCCTCTGGGGTCAGAGGGCACTGTCACCGAGCACCGGGCAGTGGGTGGGTGGGAGGGCTGAGCTTGCTGCCCCTCAGTCTTGGACATCCCCTGCTGGGCTGGCACTTGGCAGGCTGGTCCCTCTGCTCCTTCCCCGCTGCTCCACCCTAGGGGTCTTACTCTGAGCTCCCCACTGTTGAGTGTTGAGTAAATCTGCCCTGCGGGCAGTAAGGGTGGAGTGGAGCAGAGGGTCCTGGAATTAGGGATGGAGCCCTGGGAGGCTGGGGTTTGGAGCTGGGAGTACTTGGCTCCCTAGGAGCTCCAATCCTCATGGTGACAGCTAGTGTGGGGGTTCAGGTTCAGACTTGTGGTTCCCCCCCAGGATGCCCTGGTGTGTCAGATCCCCACTTCGGTGGGCCCTGGGGCTGTGTGTATGTGGGAGGGGGAGGGGGGAGGTGCGTTGGCAGCCTGGAATTGCTGTTAGAGTCTTAGACCTCCAGCCTAATTCTGGATGGAACAGATCTTTGCAGAGGGTTTGATAGAAAAGGGGTGTGTGTTGGGGGCCAATGGACTTGTGGATCCGGAAGACCTGGAAATTCTGGCTGGAATGATTGCTAGCTTGGTGGGCCTAGGCAAGTCACTCTAGTTCCTGTGAGCCTCAGTTTCCCCATCTGTAAAATGGGGACAGAGTTAGCATCTGCCCCACAGGGATTGTTGTGAAGATCAATTTAGACCCCAGCTGGCTTGTGTGACTCTGGGTAAGACCCTCAACCTCTCAGCCTTCTCTGTAAGCTGGTAGTGCTGGCCAGTGCCTCATAGCTGTGGGGAGCTGTTGTTCAGTCATTTCAGTCGTGACTGACCTTCTGTGAGCCCATTTGGGGTTTTCTTGGCAAAGGTGCTGGTGTGGTTTGCCATTTCTTTCTCCAGCTCATTTTACAGGTGAGGAAAGTGAGGCAAACGGGGGGAAGTGACTTGCCCAGGAAGTGTCTGAGGCCGGATTTGCACATGTGATGATGTATTCCTGACTCCAGGTCTGGCGCTCTGTCCATTCAGAGGAGTCTTTGCAGCGGGCTGTGGTCACTGAAGGCTGTTGCTATGATGGTTTTGCTGGCAGGTCCAGGTTCCCTGTCTGGTCCCCAGCCTGTCCCCCTTGGCCCAGCCCTCACTGGTTTCTTTCCCTACTGTCCAGGAGGCTTCTAGTCGGAACCTGGTCACGCTCCGAGTGGACCCCAATGGCTTCTTTCTCTACTGGACTGGACCCAATATGGTATGCATGAGCTTCTGAGGCCTGGCTCCCCAGGGCTCAGGCCCGGATGCTCTGTCCCCTCCTCCATACTGCAGCCCCCGGATCCTTGCCCCCTGCCCCAAATTCCCGAAGCCCTCAGGGCGGAGGCCTCCTAAGCTGGCTGACCCTTCCCACGGCCTGGCTGGACAGGAAATAACCTCCCACCCTTCCCCACCCTGAACAGGAAACGTCCTAGCCCTCTCTTCTCCTACCCAGAACAGCCTCCTGAGCATAGAGGTGAGCTTGGAGACCCAAGCCTAGGCCTAGGTTAGCCTACTCGTATCCCCATGGCAGCAGACTTTGGGGGGCTCTGTATTGCCCCTGTCTCTTCCTTGTCTGCCCTGGACACCCCTTGTTTCTCTGCCTCATGGAGTCAGACAGCTCCCCTCCTCCCTCCCACAATCAGTACTGGGAATCTCTCCAAATAGTTTGTTTATTTATTTGGGTCTATGTTATGTCCTTTCGACAGAACATAAGCATCTTGAGAGCAGGGGCTTGTCATGTTCTTTACCTCTGGATCCCTAGCCCTCAGCACACAGTAGGCATTTCTTAAGTGCTTGCTGAGTGCAGAGGCATCTCCCCCTGCTTCCCCTCTGCCCTCATCCCACCCCCCACCCCCTGCTTCCCCTCTGCCCTCATCCCACCCCCCTCCAATTTCGGGCTTCCCCTAGGAAGTGGACACTCTGGACATCAGCTCCATCCGGGACACGCGGACAGGCCGCTATGCCCGGCTTCCCAAGGTGGGTCCCATCATCCCCTGGCCCAGTTTGACAGCTGTTTATCAGAAGCTCGCAACATGCAGAGCCCCAGTGCTGGCTCTGAGATGGGTTGGGGAGGGGGAGGAGGGAGTGGGGAAAAGTCTGTGTGCCCGAGAGAGCTGGTGCTCAAACTCTGACTTATAGGACCCCAAGATCAGGGAAATCCTCGGTTTCGGAGGCCCCGAGACGAGGCCAGAGGACAAGCTGGTGACCATAGTGGCTGGCCCTGACCCTGTAAACATCACTTTCCTCAACTTCATGGCTGTGCAAGAAGATATTGCCAAGGTGGGGCGTGGTCCCAGGGAGGGACCTGGGAGGGGTGCTGGGGTGGGACAGCAAGTCCAGTAGAAAGAGCCAGAGGATCTGGCTTCCAATATGAGCCCTGCTCTGGACTGCCTTTGTGATTTTGGCCAAGGCATGGGAGCTTTCTGAGTCTCAGTTTCCTCATTTGTCAAATAGTCAGGATTGGATGGCTTTTCAGATTTCCTCCAGCCTGGGATCTGAGACCCTGTGAAAGCTGAGGGGGAGGGACTCTTGGTGGGAGGCAGTGCCCCCACCCTCACTCCCTCTTCGGCCCCTTCTCTGCCCCGACCAGATTTGGGCAGATGAGCTATTCAAGTTGGCCATGAATATCCTGGCCCAGAACGCCTCCCGAAACACCTTCCTTCGAAAAGCGTGAGCTGGGGCCGGGGAGAGGGGTCCCCACTAGCTGGGGTGCAGGCCGGGGAATGTGCAGAGGGGGGCAAGAATGAGAGGGAAGGGGGGGTCCCCAGGGTGGGAGAAGGGAGAAAGGGTCAGGGCAGGCACCCAGCATCCCCAGGGCTCCACTGGGGTACCCCGCGCCAAGGCTTTTCTTCCTCCCTTGTTGCTCTAGGTACACCAAGTTAAAACTGCAGGTGAATCAGGATGGGAGAATCCCAGTCAAAAAGTGAGAACTGTTCTGGGAGGGAGAGGGGAGGAGTTGTCCCCCAGAACCCCCACCAGTTTGTACCTCGAAAATCAGAGCCCTCCCCACAGTGAGAGGTCTGCCTGCACCCTTGGTGACCTTCGACCCCAGCGGCACCCCCTTTTTGCCCCCTTATCTGACTCCACACTCCTCACCCCCAGCATCCTTAAAATGTTCTCTGCTGACAAGAAGCGAGTAGAGACGGCATTAGAGTCCTGTGGCCTCAATTTTAACAGGGTACGTGGGGGGTGGCGGGGGGGTTCAGGCAGGGGTGGGGGGAGGGAGGCCCGGCCCCTAGGTCATCTCCTAGCAGCAGCCCCTTGACCTCCCTGGGGCTTCCCTGCTCACTCCTCCTCCCTCCCCCCTCCCTGCAGAGCGAGTCAATCCGGCCAGACGAGTTTTCCCTGGAGATCTTTGAGAGATTCCTCAATAAACTGTGTCTCCGGCCCGACATAGACAAGATCCTGCTGGAGATGTGAGAAGGGGGGAGGGGGGGCTGCAGGAGACCCCTCCCCGAAGAGGCTGCTGTGCCTCAGTTTCCTTATTTGCAAAGTGAAAGGGTCTCCCGCTTTAGAGCTATTATCTGATTACCTTTTCCACACATTGAGATTCTTGAAAACAGGAACTGGGCAGGCTCCATAACACAGGGTCAGGTCTTATCTCCTTCCCCACCTGTCCTCTCCACCCAGTGCCAGGCTTGGTACCTACTACATTCATTGATCTGCTCAAGCAATCCACAAATATTTACGTTTGTTGTCGGTGTTCAGTCGCGTCTGACTCTCCGTGACCCCATTTGGGGTTTTCTTGGCAGAGATACTGGAGAGGTTTGCCATTTCCTTTTCCAGCTCATTTTACTGATGAGGAAACTGAGGCAAACAGGGCTAAGTGAGTTGCCCAGGCTCACTCAGCTAGTGAGCATCTGAGGCTGGATTCGAACCCCGATCTTCCCAACTCCAGGCCTGGCTCTCTATCCACTGCGCTACCCAGCTGCCCCAAGTGACTGTTTAGCTCTGCTTATTACCTCCTCCTTGCTGCCCATCGTCCTAGGCTGGAGCTGAGATAATACAGACAGGGTCTCCACCTTCCAGGACATCATGGCCTAGTTTTGGAGTAGACAGAATTTCTTTCTTTTTTTTTTTTGCCAGATCTGAGGTTTAATCGGCCTCACACTCAGCACAGTCTGAGAGCACTGGCTGGGGCACTGTGTGGTGAAGGGACTTGCCCAGGGTCACACAGACAGTGTGGGTCAGGCAGCACCTGAACTCAGGTCTTCTGGCTCCAAGTTCATTCCCCTATCTACGACTCTGCGATGCTTCCTAAGGCACTCACGTACCTAAGAACAGACACTCTTGCTGTTACGGAGCTCTCTTAGGGTGGACAAGGGACATTCCTGAGGTAGGGAGTTAAGAGATAGAAAATCCCCATTTCATAGATGAAGATACTGAGGCCAGAGGTGGACCAGCTTGGTCATGGCTGCCCGAGAGATGAGAGCAAGGGCTCTCAAGCCTTTTTTTGCACCCTGGCAAAACCTAGGGACCCCTTCTCAGGATGCAGGAAAAGAACTGCATGGGATAAGCAAGGGAACCGAGACACGAGTTGAGGGAGCCCAGGCAGAGAAGCCCTGCTCTAGACGCGGGGCCCTACAGGTGATGTGAGAGCAGTGGATGCCCAGGGAGCAGATGTGCGAGGCCCTAGTGAAATTAAACTGGACTTGAAGATTGGGAGGAATTCTGAGACCAAGTGGGGGCCTGAGGAGGAGGAGGGGGCTGGCCTCTGCCGTCACAGCGCTGTGCACCCCAACTCTCTCTCTGCCCCCTTCAAGTGGTGCTAAGGGGAAGCCGTACCTGACCTTGGAGCAGCTCCTGGACTTTGTCAACCAGAAGCAGCGAGACCCCCGGCTGAACGAGGTCCTGTACCCGCCTCTTCGCCCGGCCCAGGCCCGTCTGCTCATCGAGAAGTACGAGCCCAATCAGCAGTTCTTGGAGCGAGGTGAGGACCCCGGCCCTGGGCTTGTGGGGCGATGGAGGGCGCGTGTGGCTTGCGCCCAGGTCCTGGCACGGTGACGTTAGGTGAGTCGCAAAATAAGGGGTCTGGACTAGATGGTCTCCGTAGCCCCTCCCAGTTCTGATGTTCTTAGATCAGCATTCCTCGCATTGAAATTTTATGTTCTGAAAGCCTTTCTGTCTCTTGACCTTCTGTGTTCTAAGGCCCCTCCCAGCCCTGACCTTCCGTGTTCTAAGATCCCTCCCAGCCCTGACCTTCCGTGTTCTAAGACCCCTCCCAGCCCTGACCTTCCGTGTTCTAAGGCCCCCCCCAGCCCTGACCTTCCGTGTTCTAAGGCCCCTCCCAGCCCGACCTTCCGTGTTCTAAGATCCCTCTCAGCCCTGACCTTCCATGTTCTAAGATCCCTCCCAGCCCTGACCTTCCATGTTCTAAGACCCCTCCCAGCCCTTACATTCTTGTTCTAAGGCCCCTCCCAGCCCTGACCTTCCCTGGCATTCCCAGATTCTCTGATTCTGGCCCTGTTCAGTATGGTGGGAAGAGCCCCAGATTGGGATCCAGGAGCCCCAAATCCCAGTTGCTTCTCTGTGTGACTGCGGAGTCACGTGCCCACTACCCTGGTGGGGGACGAGAGGGCCTGTAGAGCTGTGATCTGACTCCTTCTCTGGCCTCCCACCAGACCAGATGTCCATGGAAGGCTTCAGCCGCTACCTGGGCGGGGAGGAGAACAGCATCTTGCCGCCAGAGACCCTGGACCTGAGCAGCGACATGACCCAACCCCTTAGCTCCTACTTCATCAATTCCTCCCACAACACCTACCTCACAGGTACCTCCCAGGTCGGCCTCTCCAGCACTGACCCACCTGAGCTAAGTCTGAGGGTCACGTCAGGCCTCGGGCGCCTCGTCTCTAAAATGGGCATAGCGCTGCCTTTGTTCACTGGTGTGTGGGGAGAAGTGCTCTGTGGGGATGGGAGTAGTTTGTGATTTTACCAGCGTGGCTGCTGTTTCTGAACTTGACCCCAGCTGTTGTAAGAGGCAAAACCTGCCCCTGACACCTGCTGGCTGTGGGAGCCTGGGCGTCTGTGCCACTGCCCTCTCTGTGGCCAGGAAGCTCTGCAGGACAGAGTTCTTAACCTGCGTCCTTGATCAGAGGGGTTCGTGAATTTGTCTTTAATATTTTGACCGATGGGTTTTAATGTGATTAGTTTCCTTTGTAATTCTATGTATTTAACAAGATGATTCTGAGAAGGGGTCCCTAAGCTTCACCAGACTGCCCAGGGGGTCCAGGACACAAAGAATCCCACTTGAAGGGGCAGAGAAGCTTCCAGCCAGCATGGGTGGAAGGACTTTCCTCCCCTGGGTTTTCATTATATCAGGGAAGTCATGGGTCTAGGCCCACTCTCCATTCCAAATGTGAAACGTTTGTCCATTGACTGATGATGAAAGTTGTCCCCAGACGTAAGGGAGGCTCCTGTGATCTCCCTGTGGGGACAGACAAAGGGACAGGCACTTTTGGCTTCCCAGGGCCCCCAAAGGTAACGATAAAGAGCCTCACGTGGGACGCTTGGGCATCTCGTCTGGCGCATGAAGGGTGGACATCAGCCAGAAGAGCGGAGAGAACAAAACTGTGGCGTGTGAATGGGCCAGCTTTGGTGTTAGAGCATGGGGAGACAGAGAAATCCTGCAGAGGAGGCAAGATTCTCCAAACCAAGGCCATCTGGACTAATGCTGGGTCACTCACATGCAGTCATGGAAAACGGGGATCAGGCTGAAAAAGCAGAGGCGTCCATGAGGCTGCAGACTGCCCTGGAAACCTTCTATCAGTGTAGCATGGTTACTTTGTCTTCCATTAATCAATTAATAAGCACTTATTAAGCACCCACTACATGCCAGGCACTGTGCTAAGCACTTTACAAATATCTCGTTTGATCTTCAAATACTCGATCTCTTTACCAAGCAAAGAGATGGCAGACGAGGGCAAACACCGGTTTAGAGAAAAGCTGGTTCGTAAGATTGTGAACACCGAGGCCTCTTAAAAGACCCAAAAGCAGTGGATGCAAGAAATCGGGTCTGAGAAAGCTTGACACAAGACCTAATGAATCCCCATCATTTCAAGTCCGTAGCTTGGCCCCACAGAAGGACAACAAATAGGCAGGAAATGGAGCCTGTTTGCCCAGGCTTCTATCACCTCTGGTCATAATCAGAATAACAGAACCACCGTATTTGGGCCCTCACGCTCACTTCTGGATGGATTATGTAAAGACACAGTAATGACATTTAAGAGGCAGTATTAAGATGGGCATCTGAATCAGACTATGGAAGAGAAATCTGTTTTCTAGACAACACAGTCTTGAAACCATTAAGAGATCATTTTACAAGATATTTCGTGAAGGGCAGGATGCCAAAGTATGGGGCACGGGGGAATGAAAAGTAAGACTTGGAAAGGCCCGTTACGGACGTCAGTAAAGGCTGTCCCGTCCCCCTGCTATCTCATCTCTATGATAATGTTCTGTCCACGTACAGAGGGTGTCCTTGATGAAAGTAGGAGAAAGACACAGTCAGGCTCTCCCCAAATGCTTTTCTGCAGCAGCCGCCATCTTTGCAATCTCCTACAATTGAATGCATGGAGTGGAGGACAGGAGACCCAGCTTTGTTCATTGATTATGAAAAGGCGTTTGGCTTAGTAGAGTGAAACTCAGGCCTTCGAGGCCTTCCTTCCACCGGAAATCTCATGCGCATGGTAAGATCTTGCCAGATTCCTTGGTAGAGCCAACTCTGGTTTGCAGTCAGGACGTCTGCTTCTTAATGCCAAAGAAAGGCATGAAACAGGCAGGCCTTCGCCAAAGGGGCTGGTCATGGCCTTGGAAGGTGTTAAGCCGAAGACCAAGATGGTCTTGATTGGAAGCGCTGGTGTGCTAAATGTCAGCCAGTCCTAGAGAACGCGAGATCCAGGATTCAATCAAAGGATGTTGACTTAACAATCCAAAGAGCAAAAACCAAGTGGATGAGAAATGTCTGTTGTCTAGACTGTGTCATAGAAGGGAATGGCTGGACTGTTGAGATCTCTGGGGTAGGCTCAACAGATGGACAATGAACAGGAGAGGCCCAGAATTGAAGAGAAGGAATAGAGAAGGCTGGGTTGCACTAAGCAGCTCAGGGGCACAGTGGATTGAGTGCTAGACACAGAGTCAGGAAGATCTGAGTTCAAATCCTACCTCAGGCACTTAATTAGCTATGTGATTCTAAGTAGGACTTAATTTCTCTCAGCCTCACTTTCCCCATCTGTAAAATGGGATAATAGCACTTACCTTACCGGGTTGTTGAAAGGATTAAACGAGATAACACGGGCAACATAAACGTCAGCCATTTGGGAAGCAGAAGGGTACTTTCAACCATCCTAGGATGCTCTCTGGCAAAAACAAACAGTTATCGTTTTAACACAGACGTTCTGCTGATGTTGTACGGTTGTAAATCGGAACACAGCTGTCTCTGAAGAACCAGTTTTGGGTGACCCAAAGGGTAATGGAGAAGGGCATGGTGGGGGCCAGTACGGTTCCGTTGATAATATGAACACGTGTCGGTGGAAGGGATTGAGCCGCCATGATGTTTGAGCAGGAGAGCGGGCGGGCTGGTCGAGTGAGAGCCAGGGATGGCGCCTGGACCGGCCAGACACTGCCTTGGTTCCCACGGAAGGCCTCCAGCCCCTTGGGGAGGTGATTCACATACACACGGCCGGGATGAATGAGCTCCCGGCTGCTGACGCGCTCTCTGGGCTTCCGGAAAGCCGAGCTGGGCGGGGTGAGCGTCGGGCGCGTCGAGGCTCCCCGTGCTGACGCCAGACCTTTCCCGCAGCGGGGCAGCTGGCGGGGACCTCGTCGGTGGAGATGTACCGGCAGGTGCTGCTTTGGGGTTGCCGCTGCGTGGAGCTGGACGTGTGGAAGGGCCGGCCGCCAGAGGAGGAACCCTTCATCACGCACGGCTTCACCATGACCACGGAGGTGCCGCTGCGCGATGTGTTGGAGGCGATCGCGGAGACGGCCTTCAAGACCTCGCCCTTCCCCGTCCTCCTCTCCTTTGAGAACCACGTGGACTCGTGAGTTTCCTCTGAGCAGGGCTACGGGCGCTTGCTGGTGTGTGTTCCTTGACCCCTGCGCTCTGTTTCCCTTCGGCTAGGGCGAAGCAGCAGGCCAAGATGGCCGAGTATTGCCGCACTATCTTTGGGGAGGCGCTGCTCATAGACCCCCTGGATAAGTACCCGGTAGGGGCTGCTCTGGGCTCCGGAGACGTGGGGAGGCGGGCAGGTCAGGGGGTTCCTGTCTGCCTCTCACCAGCCCCATGCCCTCCTCTCCCAGCTGGCCCCGGGAGTCCCCCTGCCCAGCCCTCAGGACCTGATGGGCAGAATCCTCGTGAAGAATAAAAAGCGTCACCGCCTGCCCCTGAGCCCCTCGGACGGCTCGGTGCGCAAGCGGCCCCTGGAGCAGAGTAACTCGGCCCTGAGCGAGAGTTCCATGGTCACTGAGACCCCTTCCCCGCAGCTTGGTATGACCCCACCCAGTCCGCGGTCACTGAGGGCCCTTTCTCCCTGCCTGTGCGTGACCCCTGACCTATGACCACCTCAGCGGCCCAAGTCCCTGGGGTCTTCCTGCTCTTGCCACAATTGGGTGCGATCACACTCACCCCCTGCCTCTACCCCGTCCTTAGTCACAGATGGATATGGGTTCTGACTTCGCCCAACTCCTGGCCGTTGGCCGCCTTCCCTCTCTGGCCTCTGACCTCATCCTCTCCCGCTCTGTCATTGGTCGGCCCTGGGGCCCCCTCTCAGTCTGGCCCCGAGGGTCACCGTTCTGGGGTCAGGCCTCAGTGTTCCCTCGACGCCGGGGCCGCACTTGGCGAGCAGATGTGTGTGAGCCCGTCTCTGCCCTTCCCCCACCCCCAGGCTCCCCCAGCTCTGAGGGCTGCTCGACCCTGAGCAGTGGAGAGGACCATCTGGGCTGCAGTCCTGAGCCCCGAAAATCCATTGGTGAGAGGAGGGGTAGGCGAGAGGGAAGGGCCCGAGGGGGTGGAGGCAGAGGAGAAGGGGCCCCAATCCTTACTCCTCCCTGCAGATCGAGAGGCCGAAAGTGAGGAAGACGAGGAGGAGGAGCAAGGTGACCCCAAGAAGACCTCGACAGATGAGGTCAAGCTTAGGAGGTGGGAGGGCAGGGGAAGGGATGGGGACACGGTGGGCAGGGGACAGGACACTCGGGGGTCCCCGGACGGAAGTCGGGTCATCCACGTGACCCTTTGGTTTGGGGGCGTTACAGGGCACGGCCAGCAGCGAGGTGAACGCCACAGAGGAGATGTCCACTCTCGTCAATTACATCGAGCCCGTCAAATTCAAGTCCTTCGAGGCGGCCCGGAGTGAGTGGGTGCGGGGCCGGGGACAGCCCAGGCTGGGCGGCGGGCGTGGGGGCCCGAGGGGGGGACACTGGCCCTCACCCCCACCCACAGCTCTAATGGGGCTCTCCCCACCCCACAGAGCGAAGCAAGTGCTATGAGATGTCGTCCTTTGTGGAGACCAAGGCCCTGGAGCAGCTCACCAAGAGCCCCATGGAGTTTGTGGAGTATCCACCCACAGGAGAGGAGGGGAGGCTGGGAGCGAGGAAGCCAGGAACCTGGAACCTCAACTGGGAGGGGATTAGACCATGGAATGGGCATGGCGGAGCCGGGAGGGGTCTTTGAACATGGCGTGGCAAGGCTGGGAGGGCCTTAGAACATGGCATGGCAGAGCACTAGAACATGGCGTGGCAAGGCTGGGAGGACCTTAGAACATGGCATGGGAGGGGGCCTTCGAACATGGCGTGGCAAGGCTGGGAGGGCCTTAGAACATGGCATGGGAGGGCCTTAGAACATGGCGTGGCAGGACCAGGAGCAGCCGCTTGGGGCCAGGCGGGGCGAGTGCAGCGTGGGTCCCAGGGGAGGGCTCGACGTGCCTTCTGGAGAGTGTGGCCCGTGACCGCCTCCATCAGATACAACAAGCAGCAGCTCAGCCGCATCTACCCCAAAGGCACCCGCGTGGATTCGTCCAACTACATGCCACAGCTGTTCTGGAACGCGGGCTGTCAGCTCGTTGCCCTCAATTTCCAGACCTTGGGTAAGGCAGCCCGGTGGGTCCCCTGAGGCTCTGCTGCCCGGCCAGGCCTCGTGCTGACGGCCGGCCGTGTGCCCTCTGCCTCCCGCAGACCTCCCGATGCAGCTGAATGCCGGCGTGTTTGAGTACAATGGGCGCAGCGGCTACCTGCTCAAGCCCGAGTTCATGCGGCGCCAGGACAAGTCCTTTGACCCGTTCACGGAGGGCATCGTGGACGGCATCGTAGCCAACGCTCTCCGGGTCAAGGTGGGGTGTCTGCCGGGGGCGGGGGCAGCCTGGGGGGGGGGCGGGGGTCGGACAGTGCCGTCATCCCCCTCCCCTGGCTCTTCCAGGTGATCTCGGGCCAGTTTCTGTCGGACAGGAAAGTCGGCATCTACGTGGAGGTGGATCTCTTCGGCCTTCCCGCGGACACGCGGCGCAAATACCGCACCCGGACCTCCCAGGGCAACTCCTTTAACCCAGTGTGGGACGAAGAGCCCTTTGACTTCCCCAAGGTGGGTGTTCACGGGCCCAGTCCTGCACCAGGGGCTCTGGGGACAAGGTGAGCACCACGGAGCGGTCTCTGCCTGCCCTTGGGACGCTTCCAGTCTAGCTTCAGAAATGAAGCGGACGTGCCAGAAAAAAGTTGGTTAAACCACCTTCTCCCAGGCTAGGCTAGCTTCTGGGAGGGCTCAGTTGGTGCTGGCCCCCCTCATGCCCACTGAACTCTCGCCCTCCCATAGGTGGTACTGCCCACACTGGCCTCCCTCCGTATTGCGGCCTTCGAGGAAGGGGGCAAGTTTGTAGGGCACCGAATCCTGCCAGTCTCTGCCATCCGCTCAGGTGAGGCCTGCCAGACTGGCCCTTCCTTTCCTTCCTTTCTTCCTTTCTTCCTCAGCCCGAGTGTGGGGGGGTTGGCTCCGAGGGCAGGGGTAGGAGAGGGGGTCCTAAGGAATCAGACCGGCAGGGATGTGGGGGGGTGGCACCTGGCTCCCCTTCCTTGCTGGCCCCCATCTTTGCTTTGGCCCCCCCGGCTCCGGACTCCACACAGGGTACCATTACATCTGCCTGAGGAATGAGGCCAACCAGCCCCTGTGTCTGCCTGCCCTGCTCATCTACACGGAGGCTTCTGACTACATCCCTGATGATCACCAGGGTGAGGGGCCAGGAGGGGAGGGGCGAGGGAAGGGGTCCGGAGAGGATAAGGCAGAGGTGTCGATGGGCAGGGATGAGAACACTGGGTGAGAGACGGGAGCTGGGCTCGAATCTTGGCTCTGGCCCTTCCTCCCAGTGTAACCTTGGGGAAGCCACAGTGTCAGCCTCAGTTTCCCCATCTGCAAAATGAGGGAGGTGGTGTAGGCGTTGCCCACAATCCTTTTCTAAGAGTGACCCATGACCTAGGACAGAAGGAGGGAGGTGGAGATGCTGGCTTTGTTTGTGAATCTCCCCTTTCCCCTCCCCAAGACTATGCCGAGGCTTTGTTCAACCCCATTAAGCACGTCAGCCTCATGGACCAGAGGTCAAAGCAGTTGGCGGCTCTGATTGGCGAGAGCGAGGTGAGCAGTCATCTTAGTGCTTCAGGAACTGGAAGGGAAACGGTGAGCTTAGCTCTGGGCCCCCACTCCCTCCTGTTCTGTGGTTCCTCCCTGCAATGAGTCTGTTTTCCAAAGTCCCTCCCAGGCCTGACAGTAGCTTTTATCCTGTGGAGGAGGATGTTTAGAGGATGGTGTCAACCGGAACCATTAGTGGCCGTGGGCGGGTTCCATTGCCCCAAAGCAAACATTTGCCAGGTGCTTGAGAGACAATCAGGCCTGTATTACTTCTTATCTTCTCGGAGCTACTATCTTGCTTCCCCAGCTGGACTGTGCCACCCATACCCCACCCCCTGCCGGAGAGCCGGGAAAATTACATCCAGCCAATCAATTGAACAGATACTTCATTTTAAAAATAAGCTTTATCGAAGCCTTTCATTTATACATCACAAACATTTCTGGCCCCTGCCGCCATTCAAATTCTCCTTTTTAACAAAGAACAGTTAAGCAAAGACACCAACTGTGTATGCAGCATTCTGCCCTAGTAGTCCCCCACCTCTCTGCCGAGAGAAGAGACCCACGCTCCGATCTTTGAAAACGTTGTTGGTTCCTCGGTAATGGTTGGGTTTTGTTGGTTTTTACTGGGTCTCTGATTATACTGGGGTAATGCAGATCAGCAGTGCAAATCTGCTGAGGGAGATTCCTGGGCCCTGACAGGCTGAGCAGTTTTCCCAGGGCTACAGCCAGGTGTTGGAGGCAAGCCTTGAACCCAGGTTCAAGTGTACCCAGTTTTTAAATTGCTAAGAAATTAGCTTCTCAACAAACACTGACTGATCTTATGCTGAGAATAAAAAGAAATGACAGTGTTCCCTTCCCTCAAGGCCCTTCCATTTTACTGGGGGGCTGGGACAGGGGCCTTGATGGAGAATTCGGTGCCTCTGGGCATGAAGTAAAGGGGGTGAAGAGTAAGAAGCAAACAGCTACGTCCAAGACTGAACATATTGGGTTTTAGAAGTATTTGGGGACAGCTAGGTGTGCAGTGGAGCCAGCAAGACCTGAGTTCAAGTCTGACCTCAGATTCTACTAGCTGTGTGACCCTGAGCATGTCACTTAACCCCGATGGCTTCAAAATAAAAAAAAAAGATTTATACATGTGTAATCACTTCCTCCTCTCCCCTCTCCCCCATGAACATGCCTCTCTACAAGAGAGTAGAACTCTCTTACAACACCACTATAGTTACCAAAAGGAAGATCAGCATCTCTGCTGGTCCGAGGATGTATGCCTCATTCTGTACCCGTAGTCCACCACCTCTCTTACCAAAAGGCATTGTGCTTCCTTCCCCACCCTCTCCTCCAGGTGACACAATAAAATAGCAGATTAGGAAGCTGCCTGACAGCTTCCAAGGCAGGCCTTTATTAAGTACCTACTATGTGCCAGGCACTGTGCTAAAATAAGCACTGCAGAGACGGAGAAAGGCAAAAACAGTGCCTGTGCTCAGGGAGCTTACAGTCCAACTGAGGGGCCAACATGCAAATGAGGGCACAGACCCGTCCAGCTCCCATTTGGAAGCCTGTCAATGACAAAGGTGGGCCGTGGGCATGTTGTTTTGAGAAGATGGATTTCTCCTCCCTGTAGGCTGCTCCTGAGACCCCAGAGGAACTGCCTTCTCGACCGCTTGGACCCCAGCTGTCCACAGGCTCTGTACAAAGCTCCTTGGACTCTGGGGCCTCCTGGCCTCCGGGCTCCTGTACCTCACCCACCAGCCCTTCCATAAGCAGACCAGGTACGGGGGCAATGGGGAGACATCTAGGTGTGCAGGACCTGCAGCGTTGGGGAGGTGGGGAGAAGGTGGCAGGACCTGGGGGAAGGGGAGGGCAGCGTTGGGGGGAGGGGGAGAAGGTAGCAGGACCTGGGGGGAGAGGAGGGCAGCACTGTATGTGGGGGGGGAAGGTGGCAGGACCCGGAGGGAGGGGGAGAAGGTGGCAGGACCCGGGGGAAGGGAGAGGTCCTCCACTTGGTCATGGGCACCCGCTGCTGGGTGCAGGGGGACGTCGGAGGGCTTGAGGTCCCTCCAGTTAGGTGTTCAGTGTGTGACCTTCTATTGGCCCCTTCAGGTCTGAGCATCCTCAGTTCCTTCCTCTGGAAAAAGGAGCCATGCCATAGTGGACTCAGAGTCAGGAAGACCTGGGCTCAGAAGCCACTTTACACACTAGCTGTGTGACTGCGGGGAGGTCCCATGACCCTTTCTCTGCCTAGCGAACTGGGTGGCCTGCTGTATTTGGCGTCCTCCCAGCTCTGGCTCTGCCCCCGCCTCCCCAGGCCTCAGTTTCCCCATCTGTAAGGTGGGGGTTGAGGTCCCTTGCCTGGCTCCCAGTCCTCATAGTCACACAGGGGCCCGGTAAGGTGATGGGTGCTTGTGTAACAAGCTGCCACCAGAGATCATTGTCCTCTTCTCCCCAGGTCAGTGTGACGAGCTCATCGCCAGCATCCTGGGAGGTAAGGCAGAGCGGAAGCCTTGGGGAGGTCTGAGAGGAGTCCAGGTGCCCCCCCCCCCACATCGCCCATCAGCCCATCTGGTCTGTGAGCCCTGGGGAGGGGAGCGTGCGCCCCGCGTCTCCAGCTCTAACGTCCTCCTTCCTGGCCCTGGGTTTCAGAGGTGTCCGTGACCCCCCTGGCGGAGCTGCGGGCCCACAAATCCCTGGGGAAGCTTCACAGCCGGCAGGAGCGAGACCTGCGTGAGCTGCAGAAGAAGCATCAGCGAAAGGCGGCAGCACACACACAGCGACTCCTCAGCCACCTGGCCCAGCATCGGGGGGAAATGGAAAAGAGGCGCAAGTGAGTGCCTTGGGGCGCTTCTAGAAGGGGCTTTGACCTGAGGCCATCAGGCCATTCTACAGGTGGGGAGACTGAGGCCCAGAGAGGAAAGGACTTGTCCAAGGTCACACAAGTAATAAGGAATAGCAGAGGGGTCTGACTCCCAGGGTGGAGAGTGAACTGCCTCCTTCCTGGAACCTCAGTGTCCAGAATGACGGAGGGGATGGTCCTGCTGTCTTCTGTCTTGAGCAGGCCACTTCCAGAGTTTGGTGTTTGGCGCTGGGCACTGCATTTTGGGAAGGGGAGTGTTGAGAGGGGGTGGGGAAGGGTCTGGAGTCTGTGCCATGGGAGGGTCTGGGGAAAGAAATGGGGACATATTTCCTGGTGGAGAAAGGGCTTGGGGGTACGTGAGTGTGTGTGTGTGTGTGTGTGTGTGTGTGTGAGAGAGAGAGAGAGAGAGAGAGAGAGAGAGCATAAGGTGTTGTAGGTACGTCATTATTGTCCTTTGAGGTCCCAGGCGCAGAACCAGAAGCCTTGGGAGGACATTGCCAAGAGGCAGACCTAGTGTAAGGATTGAATGGGAGGAAAACCTTCTTGATGGTTGCAGCTGTCCATAAGTGGATGGGGCTGCCTTAGGAGGTAGTGAGCTCTCCATCGCTGGAGGTATACCAGCAGAGGCTGCATGGCCGCATGTTGCTTGTCGAGGCTCAAGAAAGGGCTTCTGGTCATTTAACCCCGATCACCTCACCAAAACAAAAAAAAATAAATAAAAAAGGAAGGGATTCTGTTCCAGCTCAGGTGGACTGGCTGAGAGCCCGTCCAGCTCTGAGGTTCCGGGACAGCTCCCTCAGTGAGTGGCACGGGTCCAGGGCATCCGATACTGGATATCTCCCCCCAGGGAGGGCCAGAGAGTTAGGAGGGGTGTCCCACTTTTGTCAGGCCTGGCAGAGAACGTGGGCCGAGTGGATAGAAACGTGAGCGGGGCTGGGCCGTGGGTCGAAGGGGCCAGGCAGCGGGGTGGGGCTGCGGCTGTCAGGACACCGAGTTCTCCTGTCCGGATACAGTCAGGCGTCTCTGTCGACAGGAGTGGAGTGCTAGACGAGGAAGAGATGAGGAAATACCGGGAGCTACAGAAGAAACAGCTTCAAAGTCTTTTGGATTTGAGGGAGGCTCAGGCTGAGGTGGAGGCTGAACGTCGTCAGGAACACCTGAGACAGGTGAAAGGGACAGGTGGGGGGAGAAAACACCTGAGACAGGTGAAGGGACAGGTGGGGGGAGAAAACACCTGAGACAGGTGAAGGGTTCCAAGAAAGACCTGGAGTCTGAATGCAGATGGAAGCACACCATTTGTTCTCCTTTTCCTTTGTTGTTTTGTTTTATTGCTTCTTTCTCGAGGTTCCTCCCATTAGTTCTAATTCTTCTCCACATCATGACTAATGGGAAAATATGCTTCGCGTGAATGTATAAGTAGAGCCCATATCAGATTGTACAATGTCTGGAGGGGGGAGAAAACTTGAAACTCAAAATCTTATGGAAGTGAATGTTGAAAACTAAAAATAAATAAATTAAAAAAAGAAAAAAGTCTAGCCTGTAAACCCCAAGATATCCAGTGAGTTTTCAGTGATCAAAATTAGAGGGAAGGGAAAGAAAGAAAGAGATAATTATTCTTGTTATGGACGTATTAAGCTTGAGGTGCCCACTGGCCATTTAGTTGTAAATGTATTGTTCCAAATGGAAGAAATCCATTTTTATAGTACTTACTAAATCATGATATTTATTTTTCAACAGTTTTTTTTCTAATTTCATTTACTGTATTAACATCTTTCCTGATAACAATCAGTTGTTCTAAATTAATTAGAACGTATTCAGGGAGGGGGGAGGAAGGAGGAAAGGGAGGGAGGGATAGAATTTGAAACTCAAAACTTTAAATAAAAATATTAAAAAAAAAAGAGAGAAAAAGGTGAAGGGTGAGACCCCTGAGACAGGTGAAAGGGACAGGTGGGGAGGGGAGAGACAAGGCCTGAGAAAGGTGAAGCTGAGACACACCTGAGACAGGTATGGGACTGCCCCTGAAGCAGGTGAGGCTTCCCTGAGAGAGGTGGGGGACGAAAAGGTAACCCTTGAGAGGAGTGTGGGGGAGCCCACTTTGGAGGTCGGTGAGGGGGTTTGCCGTCAAGGCAGCTGAGGGACACGAGCTGAAGGCATTGCCCAGCCACTCAGTCCACGTCTCTCCCCTTGACTCTGCCGTGGACAGGCCCAACATCGCCTTCGAGAGATCGTCCTTGAAACACACACAGCTCAGCTGAAGAAAGTGAAGGAGACCAGTGAAAAGTGAGTGGGAGGGCGTGGGAGGGGAGGGCTCGGGCGTGCTACCCCTCTGTTCCTGGCTCTGCGGCCTGACGACCCTCCCCAAACCAGGGAGAAGAAGGAGCTGCAGAAGATCCTGGACAGGAAGAGACATAATAGCATTTCTGAGGCCAAGACCAGGGAGAAACACAAGAAGGAGGCGTAAGCGGGCGGGGCAGGGCCGGGCTTTGTTTTGTTGTTCAGTCAGGGCACCTGCAGGACCCCGTTTGGGGGTTTCTTGGCAGAGGTACTGGAGTGGTTTACCGTTTCCTTCTCCAGCTCGTTTTACAGATGAGGAAACTGAGGCACACAGGTTAAGTGACTTGCCCAGGGTCACACAGCTCACAAAGGTCTCAGGCTGGGTTTGGACTCTCTAAAATGAGTGGATTGGGTTAGAGGACCCCCAAGGCTCCTTCCAGTTCTAATCTGTGCTACTCAATGACTCCCCAGAAATATGGAGCCCCCCAGAAATGCCTTCAGGGCTTGGTTATGTTGTCTGAAGTGGGTGAAGGCGCCTCAGCAGGGAGGAAGGAGGCTGAACCCTCAACCCCCTTCCCTCCACAGGGAGCTGACTGAGATCAACCGGAGACACATCACAGAATCCGTCAACTCCATCCGAAGGGTGAGGCTTAGACCCCTGCCAGTCCCTGGGGAGTGCTAGCACCCACCCTGCCTTCCCCCCTGTGGGTGCCCATGGCTCCTTGGACCTGCTAGACAGCCGTCCCGCGACAGCCCCCCAACCCCTGCTGACCCCTGCCCCTGCTCCCCCTGTAGCTGGAGGAGGCCCAGAAGCAGCGCCAGGAGCGGGTCGTGGCCGGACAGCAGCAGGTCCAGCAACAGCTGGAGGAGGACGAGCCCAAGGTGAGGGGGTGGGGAGGCTGGGACAGGAGGGCCGCCTGGTGGGGGGGGGCCCTCGGTGTCCAGGCCCTGATGGGGCATGTCCCCTGCAGGCGGCATCCCAGCTGGCCCAGGAGTGCCAGGCCCAGCGGGCACGGCTGCCTCAGGAGATCCAGCAAAGCCTGTGGGGTGAGCTGCGTGTGGACGAGGACGGCCTGGCCACCCCCGATGGGTCCAACGTGGGCACCGGCAACGGGCATGCCCTGGGCAGCACCAGCAACGGGCACGCCCCGGGGAGGGAGAGGCAAGAAGAAAACACCCAGCTCTGAGCTCGGGACAGGCTGGGCGAGAGCACAAAGGGAAGACACTAAACTGGTTTTTAAAACTTTTTATTTTTTTTTAAATTTTTTATTTTTTTAAATTCAGGAGGGCAAGAAGTCCCCACTAACCCTCCTCCTGAACCCTCTCCAGTCCCATCTGATGTGTGCCAGTGCGTGTGTGCGCGTGTGTGTATGTGTGTGTGCGCGTGTGTGTATGTGTGCGTGCGCGTGTGTGTATGTGTGTGTGCATGTGTGTGTGTGTCTGTACGTTCCTGTGTTCCCTTTTAGTCCCTGGCCCTCTCCCTAGAGCTGAGAACAAGAGCGGGTCCTCTCCTGCCCAGGGCCAAGGATCAGCTGGTGGGGCGGGGTGAGGAGAGAAGGGATTAAAATGGAGCCTGCCCCCTCCCCCTTCACGTGATAGCCACACTCCAGAGGCAGGAATGCCTCTCCCCTCGATCATACTAATTTTGGAGGGGCTGGGGTAGGGTAGGGGGTTGGAAATGTCCCCCTCTCCCCACACTGTGCTCCCCAGACCCATGAGGCCTTTGTGTTTTGGGGGCCAGGAGGGTGGGGCTGGTTTGGGGGCACTTGTCCTCCCCAGCTTTGGGGATCAGAAGCATCAATTTCTGTCTCTTACCTTCTGCTTGTTTTTGGTTTTTATGTCAATAAAAGTGGATTCCTAGGCCTGTACCACCTGCGCCTGTGTGCTTGGGGGATTGGGTGAGGGTGGGGAGCCTTATCCAGGCTGGGTCACTCCCAGTCTGTGTTTCGGTTTCCTCACTTCCAGAATAAAGGGTTTCATGGATGAGATGATTCTGAGGTCCCCTCTAACCCTGCACCTCTAGGTGTCCCCTCTGTCTCCTCAGGACTATCCCCAGGCACAGTTGGAGTGCCCTTCCCCTCCTGCGTTCCAACCCCAGCCAAAGGCAGGGACCTAACCGCATTGCTACAAACAAGTACTAGGGTGGGTCCCCTGAGACCCAGGACCTTATCTTCTAGCTGGTACCTGGGCCTAGAGATCTTCGAAGCTGGGATGCTCTGTGTGTGTGTGTGTGTGTGTCCCCTTGTCCCTAGAGGGCCCGCATGGTGCTGCTTAATTATTCAATGCTCTTTATTCAACGCTTTCCAGGAGGGACTTGAGCAGCCCCTTGGGGAATGATTGAGGCTCATCCTTAGGGAGTGTTACCCGACAAACATCCTCCACCCAGATTCCACCCTCTTCCCCCCAAATCAATCAATAAACCAGTGCCTGGGGATTAGGGCTGGTGCTAAAAACTGGGGATTATAAAGAAAGGTTTTCCCCTCAAGGAACTCACAGTCTAATGGGGGAAGGTGACAAGCAAACATTGTATAAACAAGTTATGGACAGGAAGAATAGGAAATAACAGAGGGGAAAGCACTGGGATTAAGGATTGGGGAAGGCTTCCTGTAGAAGGTGGGGTTTTAGTTGGGATTTAAAGGAAGCCAGGGAGTTAAGTGGTCAGCAGGACAGGGAGAGCCTTAGGTATGGGGGACAGGCAGAGAGAATGCTCAGATGGAGGGTCCTGTTCACGGAACAGCCAGGAGGCCAGTGTCACTCAAGAGTAGTGTTGGGGAGTTAGGTATAAGAAGACTGGAAACGTTGAGGAAGGCCAGGTGATGAAGGGCTTTGAAAGTCAGGATTTTGTGTTTGTTCCTGCAGGTGATAGGGCGCCCCTGGAGTTTACTGAGTAAGGGGTGACGTGACCTTCTTTTAGGAAAATCTCTTTGGTGGTTGAATGGAGGATGGACTGGAGGACAGAGACTTGAGGCAGGCAGCAGCTGTTGCAATAGTCCAGGTGTGAGGTGATGAGGGTCTGTACCTGGGTGGTCATGTCTCAGGGGGGAGAAGGGTGCATATTAGAGGTGAAATTGATGAGAGATGCACAAAGGTGAAATCTAGAAAAGCTGTTAAAAAAGATGAAATGTACAAGAAATATTGCAAGGTGAAATCTACAAGAGATGCTAAAAAAAAAAAAAGGTGAAATCTACAAGAGATATTCCAAAGGTAAGATCTACAAGAGATATTCCAAAGGTGAGATCTACAGATGTTCCAAAGGTGAGATCTACAAGTGATTTTAAAAAAGGTGAAATCTACAAGAGATATTCCAAAGGTTAGATCTACAGATGTTCCAAAGGAGAGATCTACAAGAGATGTTTAAAAAGGTGAAATCTACAAGGGATATGCCAAAGGTGAGATCTACAAGAGATATTCCAAAGGTGAGATCTACAAGAGATATTCCAAAGGTGAGATCTACAGATGTTCCAAAGGTGAGATCTACAAGAGATGTTAAAAAAGGTGAAATCTACAAGACATGGTACAAAGGTGAAATTGATAGGCCTTGGTGAAAGCTTGGATATGGAGGGGTGGAATGTAAGGGGTCCAGGATGACTTTTAGGTTGTGAGCCTGAGGAACTGGGAGGATAGTGGTGCAGTAATAGGGAAGCTAGGAGTGGGAGTGAGGGGAAGATCCTGAGTTCTGTTTTGGACATGTTGAGTTTAATATATCTACTGGGCATCCAATTGGAGACATTTTCAAAGGCAGACAGAGATGAGAGAGATTGGAGGTCAGCAGAGAGACTGGGGCAGGAAAGGTAGATTTGAGAATCATCAGCATAGAGATGGTCATTAAATCCATTTTGGGGGGGTGCTTTTTGGCTAGGCAAATGGGGTTAAGTGACATGCCCAGGGTCACACAGCTAGTAGGTGTCTGAAGTAAGATTTGAATTCAGGTCCTTCTGACTCCAAGGCTGGAGCTCTATCCACTTCGCCACCTAGCTGCCCCATCATCAAATCCATTTTCAACAAAAAGGAGGGATGTGCCCTTTAAGTTGGGAGCCTGGTTCTAACCTTGACCTTCATGTTTGACTCATGTTGGTGGAGTTTCCTTAGCTCACATCAGCACAATCCTTCTGCTCTCTTCCCACTCCACCATTTTCTCCGCTTCTTCCTGGATTCCTCACAGTGTCATTACATTCCATGATGTTCACCTCCCCTACCTGGACCGGTTGTCCTTTCTTTGGTCATACATCTTTGGTCCAGTTTTTCATTATCCCAAATACTGTGGCTATGATATTTATTTCTGTCCATATGAGTCTCTGACCTTGTGGTATTATCCTAAGAGTGAAATGTTTAGGTCACTGTAGACCTAGGGTTTTCCAGACCGAGTACAGGTACCCCTCTTCAACATCAAAGACTTCTGAAGAACCCTGTATTTTTCACTGCATGTAGCTGGAGAGAAGTAAAGATGAGGACAGTGTTTGGTCTGCAAAGGATTTGGGGATTCCTCATGATAACTCTATAGGCACCTTGGGTCCCCATTTTGGAACCCACTAAATCTAGTGCAGCCTCCTCATTTTATACACTAGGAGGGAAATACGCAAGCAGCAGAGCCAGGCCTGGAACCCAGGTGTCCTGAATCGGGGTCCTTGGCTCTTGTCAGCACCCCCACTGCCCTACCCCAGCCATCAGGAGCTCCTAGGCTGCAGGTGCAGGGGAGCTGCCTGCTGTACTCCCACTGTCACTTTGCTGAAGGGCTGAACCCTGGGGAGAGCCTCACTGCCGCCGGGCAGGGTCCCTGGGGCAGCTATTTCTGGAGTGTACTTTCTATTTAAGGTGTGTCAAGCTGGTGAGCTCTCCCCTAAGCACGTGCCTCCCAGCATGGCTGCGAGCCTGTGGCCCAGCTGGGGCTCTAGGCAGCAGGAGAAGAGCTCCGGCCAGCCCTGGGAGACCAAGGTAGGGGCCACAGAGAGGCTGGTCCAAGAGGGAGGCAGCCTGGCCCGGTGGACACCGAAGATGGATTTGAAGTCGGAGGACCTGACGAAAACCCAGGCTTTGGGACGGTGGGATCTCAGGTCATTCCCTGCTTTGGCCTTCAGCTTTCCCTTATCATAAAAGTAGGGGTCGGATTATCCCTCCTAGCTCTGACATTCCACATTCTAAGGTCCCTCCCAGGCTGACATTCCTTGCTCCAAGGCCCCTCCTTGTAGGGACATTCTCCTTTCTCAGGACTTCTCTAGCTCTTGTGTTCTTTGCTTTCAGGTCTCCCCAGCTCTGATGGCCTGTGATTCTCAGTTGACCTGTTTCCGCAGCCCCTGGGTCAAGCTGCTGACTGAAAACTCTCCCTAACCCCCTCTTGCCTTCCCACCCACTAGGGCTTAAATGCCTGAGTCGGGAGAGGAAGGCAGCTTCTTATCTCCTGCCAATGAGCTGTCCTCTCTCTTTCTCTTTTTGCCAAAATCCAGAGCAAACAGGAGATGGGGTGGGGAGGAAGGGAGGCACAGGGAAATTACAAAGGAGTAACAGCTTTGCCAAGGAGTCCCTGCCCCAGCTCCTTGGTGGTCACATGGGTCAGCAGGATGGACAGACAGAGCCCTTCAGGACTCTCCTCGTGGACGCCGGAGTCAGCTGCCTAGGAGTTTCTTCCTCGTCCCCCTCTCACAGGGTTTGCTAGCGTAGTTTGGGGTTGGATGATCTCAGCTTGGCTACTTGTCAGTTCTCAAGGCCTCACTTTCCGGATCTGAAAATGAGGCTGGACTAGATGATCTCTGTCCCAGCTAGCTCGTAAACCTTTCTTTTCGATGTTAAGTCCAAATGGATTTTCCTGACATTCAAAGCTTCCCAGCATCTGGCTTCCCCTTCTCTCTGGGTAATCAGTCTCCAGTTGTGACCACCCCTCCTGGCTCCCTCCCCCTTGCTTACATGCCCCTTCCCCTGCAGCTTCTCCTCCCAGCCCAAATCCAAGCTATCCTTCAATGTTCATCTTCAGTGGAAAGCCGTCCTTGAACAGGAAAATGTTCTAGTTGGAAGGCACCAGGGAAGCCATCTACTCTCCCACCCTCCTTTGACAAAATGAAGAAACTGAGGCCCAGAGAGGAATCATAAGGTCCCTGGAAGGGAACCCAGACAGCTTCCAGTCCTACCTTCTTTAGGAATTAGGATTAAGAAATAAGCTGGTTTTGCCTTTCTCCATAGGCTGGGGAGATCTGAAAGCACTGGCATGGGAGACTGAGGTTGTGGTTGTGGTTGTGGTTCAATTGTGTTCGACTCTCTGTGACCCCATTTGGGGTTTTCCTGGCAGAGATACTGGAGTGGTTTGCCATTTCCTTCTCCAGATCATTTTACAGATGAGGAAACTGAGGCACACAGGGTAAAGTGACTTGTCCGGGTTCACCCAGCTAGTACGTGTCTGAGGCTGGATTTGAACCCAAGAAGATGAGTCTTTTTGACTCCGGGTGCAGCACTAGCTACCCAAGGAGGGACAAATTCCACCTGTGTGATCTTAACCCGTCCAGGTCAGCCCCTCTGTGAAATGATAAAGTTGGACATTAGATGCCTTGAGGTCCCTTCCAGTTGTAGAAACATCATCCTATAATTACGATAAAGTCTTTCTGACAATGGATAAGTTTATGATTCTACCCATGTATTGGGAAGGCAAAGATCCCCCCCCTCCAAGGTTTCCTGCCTTCAGAGGGCTTATATTCTACAAGAGATAGGGCAGGTAAGCAAATACAAGGGATTGATGAGGCCAGATCCATAAAAAGGACTACTCTATGATAACCTGAGGAAGGACAGATCACCTGGGGGAGGAGGAGCAATCACAGAAGGCTTCTCAGCACAGGTGGCACCTAAATTGGTCCCCAACAGAAGAGGGCTCTGCATTCCGAACTTGGTCCAGTCAGGCTGGAACCAAGAGGACCTGAAGCAGGAGTAAGATGCCAGGACAGGAATGGGGAGCCACGGCAGGTTCCTGAGCTTTGGAGTGGGGATCGGGATATCAGGGACCCGAACTAAACAAAACAGGCCTCGAGTGTCTGGGCATGACCCGGGGTCGGTCCAGCCCCAGGCGTGGGAGAAGAGAAGCAGGAGACACAACAACAAATGATCTGTTTATTGCCACGTTCACACAGAGAACCCAAGAGTCAGCTACGTGAGCAGCTCCCCGGGGGAGAAATGGTTAATCTGGGCTCTGACCAAGGCGCAGGCGCAACGAGGCCCCGCCCACAAGCCGATTGGTAAGGGCGGGCCTGGACATCTAGTGGCAGGCCGCTTCCGGCGGCCATGTTGGCTATGGGCGGAAAAAGCCTGACTACTGTTATGCCGAGATACCGGCGCCCTGGCTCCCCAAATAATTCGCTTGGCCCAGGAAAGACTGCAGTCACGCCATACGCTCTCTGACTCCCTGAACTTCTGCGCTTGCTCCTGGCCCCTGGAAATAGGGGCAGAGCACTTCCGCCCTTACGCAACATGGCCGCCAAACTACGTGATGGTCGAGGTGCTTGAGAAAAAAAGGGGAAGGGGTGGGGGTCAGTGGGAAGGACCGGCGGCGCTCCCTTTCCCCAGACTCCGGCTGAGCCAAGACTGGAAGGTGCGGGCCCAGCCGTGGCTCCGACGCATCTGACTCGCAGTGCCGGCGCTCTTCGGGCGGGGAAGACCCTGTGGGGGTGGGAAGGGAGGATGACAAGAGCAAAGGCTTATAGTGATTGGCCATCTCGGGCATTTGTGTCGTCCACCCAACTTCCGGCATCCGCCCTTTCCCTTCGTTTCCGGTCACCAGCTTTCCCTCCCCCCTTCCCAGAGCTTCTTTTTCGAGGGGAGGCCTTCAGGAACTGCGGGACTACAACGACCAGCATGCCCCGCGCCACCTGGCCGCCCTCTACGGATACCTTGAAGGTGCAATCGAACTCGTCGCTCATCCTGCGCAACTCGCTGCCATAACGCCGCGCAGCCCAGAGGATAGGAGGCGCTGAGCTGGAGCGGCTCCGGAACAGGCTGCGTTCCTCCTCCCCCTCGAAGAAGTCGGCCTCGGCCTCCGCTTCGGGACTCGCCTCCCCGGGCCCCTCCCGAAGTGGGGGGTAGGAGATCAGGCGGGGCCTTCTGTCCCCGGCGCCTGCGCCTGCGCCTGCGGAGGAAGCGGGGAGAGCGCCATTCATTCATTCGTTCATTCGTTCATTCATCCACGCATTCGTTCCTGCAGTCATTAATTCTCCCAAACATCATTAGTTCCTCCCTTGGTTCTCCCACGGGGCCTCATCTTCAGCCTCTCCCTCCCTTCCACTTACCCACCCCTGATGCTACCGTCTCTCAACCTTCTTCATCAACACTTATTAGGCACCAATGGTGTACCCGGCCCCGTTAATGCAAAAAGAGGCAGCAGACGGCCCCTGCCCTCAAAGCTGCCCCCCTTCTTTGGCCGCACGTCACCTCCAGGGGCACCTGGGCCTCTATCCTAGTTCTGGTCCTTCTTAACCCTCACCTGGACTTGGTAATTAACTTCCTAACAGATACACCCAAGGCACAAACATCTTTCAGTGGCATTGAGAAACTGAGAGTGCCCTCCCGGTGCAGACCCAGATGGCTGACTCATCTTGAGCTTGGAGTCCACTCAGACCCCTGGATCTGTTTTCCTGACAATACGCTATCCAATTGATGCCTCCTCAGTCTTATACTTATTACAGCTTTTTTTTTTTTGTACCCAAGGATAAGACTTTCCATCTAACCCTACTGAATTACATCACCCCCTACAGAGAAGAACCATATAAACAAAAGCTCTCTGGGGGTCCTCAGTAATTTTTAAGAGTGTAAAGGCTCCCTGAGGCCAAAAAGATGGAGTACTAAATGTTAAATGGCCCAGGGCCAGTCACAGATGCCTGGGGACATTCTACTGGGGACTTCCTGGTGCACTGACATTGAATGATTAGCGACAACTCTATCATTCTGGCAATCCAAGCAGTTCTGAAGCCATCTCATTATATCATCCTTAAAATCCAGATCTCTCCATCTTCTCTACAAGAACAGCATGAGGCACTTTAACACAGGCTTTGCTAGAAAACAGGCAAAACTGACAAAAGGGAATAGGCAATGTTGGAAAAAAGTGCACACTGATGCATTGTTGGTGGAGCTGTGAATGGATACAACCATTCTGAAAAGCAATATAGAATTACGCAAATAAAATGAGATTCCACTGCTCAGCTCATACCCCAAAGAGGTTATTGACAAAGAGAAAGGCCCCCTCTAGACCAAAGGATTTCCAGCAGTCCTTGCCCATCGAAAAGAGGCCTGACAAATGGGGGCAAGTGAATGTCACGGAACGTTACTGTACTATAAGAAGTGACGAACATAAGGAATGCAGAGAACACAGACTGATGGAAAGCGATCAGGGCCAGGAGAGCAACATATGAAAGGATTACAGTATAAATGAAAGGAAACAACCATCAAATAATGGAACAAGGCTGGCCCTGAGGAACGGATAAGAGAAAAGACCTTCCCTCTTCTCGGCAGAGGTGGGGGCCAGGGGTGTGGAACAGTGTATATGAGGTTAAGCTTTTTTTGAAGCATTGCTTGGTTTTGTGGAATTTTTTTTTCTTCCTCTCTTAAAAACATTATTTTTTAAAAAATAAAATAACAAAAAAATTTTTAATAAAGGATGGCTCTCTGGCAGGGTGGATGTAGGTGACAGAAAAACAAAAAATTAATATCTTATATATAAGATAGTATTATTATTAAATGTGTTAGAAATCTATTTATTATATTTGTATTTTGCTATGTCATTTACAGGACCACAGAAGCCCTCAGACATCATCTGATCCAACCTTTTCTCTTTTCAGTTGTGGAAACTGAGGGCTGAGTCAGTTAAATGACACGTCCAAAGTCAAAACTGGGTACTTTGATCCTCACAATGACCTTGGGCACTAACTATCATCACCCTCGTTTTACAAAGGAGGAAACTGAGGCTCTGAGACTGGGTTACTTGCCTAGGGTCATGGCAGGATTTGAACCCAGGTCTTTCAGATTCCAAGGCCAATCCTCTTTTCTCTGTGTCACGCTGCCTCACTGGGCTTAAATCCAGGGTCTCTGCGGTATGGCCAGTGGCCATCCCACTGCCCCTCACTAGAGCCCCGCCCCCCCAAGAGCTGGAGGCCTGAGGCCCAAGCAGGGGTCAGCAGAGCTGCCTAGGAGCGTGACCCAGGGAGCATTCTTGGACGAGGTGCGCCAGGGTGGCTGGGTGGTTTCCCAAAGCCGGTTTTGAAGGAAGGGAGGGGTCATGGCTGGGCAGTGGGTGGGGTGAGCAACAGAAAACATTATCTCCTGCACTCTTGCTCTCTACAAGCACAGGGTGTGCCCAAAAGCCTCATGGGATGAGAATGGGCTGGGCTGGCCCCCAGACCTCAGCAAGGACACAGGGGAGGCCCAGGGAGCTCCCCACCCCAAATGACAAGGGGGCAGGGGAAGGAGGCCGTTCTCTGTCCATCTAGTAAGGCTGAGAAGGGGGGGCGTGACCAAAGGAAGACCCGAGTTCCAATCTCACCTCTGACACTGTGTGGCCTGGCCTTGTGCCTCCCCTGTAAACCAGTGATGAGAATGCCTGCCCCTAGAAGGTGGCTTTGAGGTCCAAAGGTCAGAACTGATGTAAAGGGTTCTGCTGCCGGAGGGGCTCTGGAACCTCTGAGGTTCCTCTCAGCCTGTGTCCAGCCTGCCCTGGGCTGTCATCTCAGATCTGGGTTCCACGAAGATCCCCGGGATAGCCCCCCTCCTGCTCCTCCCCACTGCTGTCCTCCCCTTCTTCCTCCCTCCCCCCCTTCCTCTTCCTCCTCCTCCCCCCCCTTGTCCTCTGCCTAAGCCTCTGAGGCTCTCTGCTGCCTAGCTCCCCCCCCTTCCATCTCCTTGGACTTTTATACCTGCTTTCCCAGACTTCCAGTCCTAGAGGAGGCCATGGGGTGTGGGGACAGTCTAAGGAACCCAAGGGGAAGTCCTCAGAACCTCAGATGGGTTCAAGACCCTGGACAGGGGAGGCCCTGGGGTTGGCAGGGCCAAGCATGAGATGAGAGACCCATCTGAGCACTGGGTTTGGAAGGCATTGTGGGACCAGGTGCCAGTCAGCTAATCCAGTGACCTCAGGGCACCATGGAAATGGGGCCTGACTTTCCTGGGACCCTCCTTCTGATCCCTAGGTCACACCTGCCACAGTAAGGAAGAGCCTTCTGGAGAAAATGCAATGGGACTTTTGACAGGATAAACGTGTATAAATTCAGTAACCACAAAGGAGCTTGATATTTATTCACTAAGCAAGCCAGAGTGGGTTCTCACTTTTTCCTGATGTCCTCTGGTCCCCACACTCAAATGCCCTAGGGCATCTGTGACCTCACTTATTTGGAATGCAAGTCCCAGGCACCCAGGCTTGGCCCCAAAGTAAAGGGTAGTTCAGTGAATAACAGCTTGGGTGTTCCAGGTGGGGAGCTGACTGCCTTCTTCCTGGGGGACCAACCCTAGATTTAGATCTGAACAGAGCTAATCCTGGTCATTCAGGAAAAGGCACTTATTTTATAGAGCCCCAGGGCCCCAGAGTGGAAGGCTGGGCCTTGAAGACTTCACTGGACCATGCTGGGGCTTGGGGAGCTGGGCAGTGTGCTCCCTCCTGCGGCTCTGAATTAGACCTTCCTATCACAAAAAGACTCCCGTCCTGCAGGGGTCAGCTCAAGGAGGGCTTTCCCAAGCTAGGGAGGGTCCAGGCTCCACCCCTTCCTTCTCTCCAGTGTGCCTCTGAGGGTAGACACTGAAAATCTGAGCTTTTCCAAGCCCCTGAGGGTCTCCCCAGAGCCCCCTCCCCAGTGGCTCAGGAGGCTGGAAAGAGGCCCAAACTAGGAGACTGAGTTTCTTTGAAATATAAATCAATGAAATTGTGTCAGGCAGTGTTTCAGCGGGGAGGTGGAGGCTGGCACACAAGCTGGGCAGAGATCCTCCGATAACAACAATGAACCCGGCTTCCTTCACAAGGTGGTGGTTAACTAGCTGCAGGACCCTGAGTCTCAGTTTCCTCATCTGTAAAATGGAGATAAAAACAGCCCCTCCCTCTCAGGCATCCCAAAAGTCTTGTTTCCCATCTACGCCCACTGGTGGTTGTGAAGCTGGGCTTTAACACCCCTCGGGGTGTTAGCCATTCAGAGCTACCACAGCCTAGACTAGAGAGAAGCCAAGATCAGAGCCAGGCTCGGGACGTGCACCTACCCTCATGGTGGTGGGCTCCAGGTGCGGGTCTGGGTCCAGGCCTGACTGGGGCCAAGCTGGGGGCAGTGGCGCTGTGCTTGCCCAGCCCCCTGGACTCCCCCGGGGCATAGGCAAAGCCGTCTTCTTTGGGAGTTTCCTGCTCACTGGGCTCAAACTCTGAGATCTGAAACATGCTCATGGGGTGGGAGGCATCGTCTGGCCTGGGGAGGAAAGAGAGTAGAGGGGCAGAGGGTGGGTGGGGTGGGGGCAAAGCCAGAGCCGTCTTTAGAGGAGGGGAGAGGAGGAAGTGGCTGCCTGGTGCCAGGGCGGAGCTGAGAAGAGGGAATTCTGAGGAGGACCAGCTAGGTTCCCTTCCCGCCTGCTGGGCTCCAGCATTATTTCTAACCTAATAATAAACACATTAAGAAGGCAACAAGGCACAGTGGATAAAATCTTAGCCCCGGAGTCAGCAAGGCTTGGGTTCAGATTCTGCCTCAGATGATTACTAGCTATGTGACTCTGGGCAAGTCATTATCCTCTCTTCAAAATGTTGTTATAGATGGCCCCCATGGCGGGTGGGGAGCTTCTCCCACTAATAGAAGCATGTCTCCTTGGTGTCATAAAAAAGATCGGGACCCCTGGTGCCATCTAACCCCCTCATTTGACAGAAATGGAAACCAAGGCCCAGGGAGGTGGGGTCCAAGGTCACCCAGGTAGTGTCCCAGGTAACTCCCATGGGGTCGTGCCCCTGCTCCTCGGACCCAGGCTCTTTCCATTGCCCTATTGTCTGAAACCCCAAGGCCTGCTCCTCTGCAGGCCTCAGTTTCCCATCCATAGAAGAGGGAGAATACCATTTTCATTGCTTCTCCCCCAAGGGTGTTTGGAGTGGAAGTAGGGGAAGGGGCTGTTTTTCACTATTTGTATGGGCCCTGTTTGTTAAGCCACTCCAAATCCTAAAGAGATAAGGTCGTTCCTTATTATCTGTAAATGAAGGGACTGCACGAAATTCAACAAACATCCATTAGTACACCCAGTGGGCCCCCCATGCTCTGGGGGTACAAGGCCAAGAATGAAAAGTTCTTTGCCCAGAGGAGCTTCCAACCTGGGGAGAGAAGACAGACGGAGAAGCCATCCACCCGGGTGTGTGACAGATCCCTGGCCTCACCAGGACCCACTGTCTCCCTGGTCATGCGCCAGGCAAGTCGATCCCTCCCCTCTTCTACCTCTAGTGGGTTCAATGGTTCCTGCCAAGGAAGTCCGCAGCTCTCCTCAGGCTCCCATCTGCAAGAAGCCTTCCCCAGCCCTCCCTGCCTCCTCTCCCACTGACCCTGTCAATAGCCCTCAGCTTGGACCCTGTGGTTGGTGAGTGGCTTCCCCATTAGACTGGGAGGGCAGGGGCTGTCTTTTGTCTTTCTGTGTATTTCCAGATCTTGGCACAGTATCTGGTATGCATTAGGTATTTAATAAATGTTTGTTGACCGACTGACCTACCAGTAAGGGAAGACAGCACCTATTAGGGAGTGGTATCCTTCTGGCACACTTATAGTTTTTTCAATGTTTGACTGTGCATGACCCCCTTTGGGGTTTTCTTGGAAGAGATACTAGAGTGATTTCTCCAGCTCATTTTACAGATGAGGAAAGTGAGGCAAACAGGGTGAAGTGACTTGCCCAGGGTCACATAGCTAGGGAGTGTCTGAGGCCAGATTTTAATTCAGGAAGATCAGTCTTCCTGACTCCAGGCCCAGTGCTTTATCTACTGTGCCACACAGCTGTCCTTCTGGCACACAGTAGGTGCTTAATAAATGCGTGTTAACTTGATAATACCAACGATTTTCCAGTCTGAAACACTCCTCCCAGGCCACCACTCTGAATGGTGTCAGGGGGTCAACACGCATTTATTAAACACCTACTGTGTGCCTGGCTCTGTGCTAAGAGCTCCAGATATAAAAGAAGGCAAAATATATCAGACTGCCTCAAGGTCTTGGAGAGGGAGGTGGGGAGGGAGGAAGAGAAAAATTTAAAACTCAAAAGCTTATGGAAGTGATTGTCCATAAATCAAAATACATTAATAAAAAAAAATCAGAAAAAAATAAAAGGCCAAAGACAGCCCCTGCCCTCAAAGAGCTTACAATCTAATGGGGGAGACAACCTGCAAAGAATGAGGTAGAAATGAGTCACAAACAGTAAAAAGTTGGAGCTAATCAAAGGGGCAGGGACTGCCTCTCATTTGCTTGGCACAGTAATTAATTACTTAAATCCTTCCTGCACGTGGCCAGATAAAGGTTAGCGGTGGGATCTGAACTTAGGTCCCCCGGCCTGGAGAGCCAGAGCTCCTTGTATGGTTCCAAGGTCGCTTGGGGAGCAAAGGGTCCAGCCCAGCTCCTGTGACTTCCAGGCCAAGGGTCTGGGACTCCCCCTCAGCTCCCACCGGAAGGATGTGTCCGAGGTAAGAACTCCCCTTTCTACTGCCCAGTACTCTCAGTTCAATGATATTTACTCCCATTTGACCGAGGGAAAAACTGAGGCCGGGGAGGGGAGTGCCTTGCCCAAAGCCGCGCACCCTCAGGGAAACTACAAGTCCCGTGCCCCAAACTTTGTCAAGGGGGTCCTGGGGAGCGACCCCTCTCCCAAGGATTCGGGGCAGGGCTGGGGCTGCAGTCCACACCAGCAGAGGGAGCATCCACTCCTCGAGGAGGGAGGTGGGGCCGAGATTGTCCTCCCCGTTAGACAGAGGAGGAAACTGAGGCTGGGGAGGTGGGATGGGGCCAGCTCCGCCTCCATGCCTCCCGATTTCCTCTTCCCCCGGGCAGCCCCAGGACTTCCCTCCCTTCTCCCCTCCCTCCCAGGCCTGGGAGCCCGCTCCCCGGCTCCCCCCAGCCCAGCCCGGGCCGGCCCGTGGCCGTGGCCGTGAGTGCAGGAGGCTTACCCGGATGGGCTGCCCCGGCCTTCTCGCTCCCTCTGGGTCTCTGCCGGGGTCAGCGCTGGGGCTCCCCGCAGTTGGGCTGGGCTCGCTCCTCCTCCTTCTTCCCTCCCTCCTGTTTTCCCGGGAGCCCCGTCCCCGTTGCCTGGGTGAGAGAAACTGTCATGAAACTGAGCCAATCAGCTCCCGCTATGTCACCCCGGCCTACAGGGAGGAGGAGGGGAGGAGGGGGAAGAGGGAGGTGGGAGTGCCTGCCCCCGGCCCGGGCCGCTGGCCCCTGGCCCCTCCCCCCCGCCCCCACCACCCCCCCCCCCCTCCGCCTCGGGCCCCTCCTCCCCACCCCACTCCGCCTCCAGCCCCCGGGCAGGGCCAGGGCCAGGCTGGCTGCCCCCGCTGCCCCCGCTGGCCCCTCTGGCCGCTCCGGGCTCTTCTGATTCTTCCTTCCTCTGGTCCTGAGCTCGCTTCCTCTGAGGACTGAGGGCTGGGGCTGGGGGGACGCCGAGATTGCAGGAGCCTCGGGGCCCCGTGGCGGCCTCCCCACCCCCACCCCGAACCCTGCTGTGGTGGTCGCCCTCCCCTCGGTCTTCCCAGCCTCCTTCCGGACTGGCTCAATCCCCTCCCCATGGACACAGTGTCCCCTCGTGTCCGCTCGTGTCGGTGGCAGTGGTGGCTTTCCTCTTTAGAAGCTAAGCTCCCCGAGGGCAGTTACCTTTTTCTTTCCCTTCTCCCTGCACTTAATAAATGCTTGTTGACCAACTTTCTGAATGACCCACCCACGTCGTGAAGGGTAGGAAATCGAGGTCCTTGGAGGGTGAAGTGACTTGCCCAAGGTCACCTCGCCTAGCTGGGGTGAAGAGGCAGGTTTGAACCTGGATGCTGTCCCCCAAAGCGGAGGTGTTTCTATGAGGAGGACGCTAGACTCCCCCTCCCCACTTTTTCACCCACTCCTGCTTGGATGTCTTGGCTGGTCTGGCCCATCCGGAAGTTATCATGCCTCTGCTTTCTTCATTGCAGGATGACTCAGTTCACTTCCCCCGTCTGAGCCAAGAGCCTACTCGTCTTCAGTTAATAACCAAGAGTGGTTGTCTGGGAATGGTCTTTGGCGTTGGAGGACTCAGGTTCCAATCCTGCCTGCGACACATTAGCTGTGTCTCTCAAAGCCTCAGTTTCCTCTTCTGTAAAGTGGAGATGCGCACTGTTGCGGCTGGTGGTTGGGGAGAGCCCTTTGCTGGCTGGACAATGGTCTCCCGGCTCTCGGACCATTATCTGCTGGAAGCTGTCCCTCCCAGCCCCCTTAGCCCTCTTACTCACTTCTTATTCATCCCATATATAGCTTGTTCATACCTGTTTGTTTGCTTGTCCCTATTAGATTGCGCACTCCCAGACAGCAGGTCCTGTCTCTTGTGTCTTTTTGAATCTCTAGCACTTAAAGCAGTCCTTAATTGTTTGTTGACTGACTGAATGATTGTCATGAGGAGTAATTAATGATAATAATAATAGGTATTATTTAGTTGGGACTTGTGAGGTCCTTAGTAAGAGGAACCTTCTGGACTCTCTACCAATGTAAATCTGCAAAGAGATTGGCAGCTGTAGGCTGGGTGCAGTGGACTGATGGAGACTGGAGTCCAAACAGGCCGAGGATCTAGACTTGACTCGTGGCTGTCCTTGGGAGAGTCGTTTCCCTCCCTGGGCCTCACTTTCCTCATCTGTAAGGAGGTCTGAGGTCCCTTTTGGCTCTAGGTCGATGTTCCTAAATTAAAAGACTCTTTGGGTATCTTATGGGGACCACTTGGAAGTCAAGCAGTGACTTGCCCAGGGTCATACAGCCAGGCTATGTTAGCGGCTAGACTTGGACCCTGCCCTTCCTGACTACAATCCCAGTTTTCTAGCTACTCCTCAACACTGCCTTTTATGTTCTCGATGTCATTAATACAACTATAATAATTATTTTCACCTTTATCCAGTTGTTTTCAGTTGTGTCTAACTCATCGGGACCCCATTTGGGATTTTCTTGGCAAAGACACAGGAGTGGTTTGCTATTTCCTTCTCCAGCTCATTTTACCGATGAGGAAACTGAGGCAATTTGGGGTTAAGTGACTCGACCAGGATCATACAGCCGGTAAGAGTCTGAGGCGAGGTTTTAATTCAGGAAGATGGCTCTATGCACTGTGGTACTTCCTAGCTGCTCATAATAATTATGTGTGTAATGAAATAGGGTAGCTAGCTGGTGCCGTGGCTAGAATGCTGGGCCTGGACTCGGGAAGTCTCATTTTCCTGAGTTCAAACCTGACCTCAGACACTCCCTGGCTGTGTGACCCTGGGCGACTCACTTCGCCCTCTTTGCCTCAGTTTCCTCATCTGTAAAATGAGCTGCAGCAGGAAATGGCAAACCACATCAGCGTCTTTGCCAAGAAAACCCCAAATGGGGTCATGAAGAGCGGATTGGACCCAACCACAATAACAGAGAAATAGTTCCCCCTCCCAACTGTAATGTATGCCCTAGGGAGTGCCAAGGGGCTGAAAGACCTCAGAAAAATAAAGAGGAAGGCCTTCAGATGCAAAACAGGCATTCCCCAACTTTAGGGAGTCAGTAATTCACGTGTGTGGAAGAAGTCATTTAGCCTCAGAAAGGGCTTCTGGGGCACAGATTGAGGTCCTGCCTTTGTCCAGCTCCTCAGCCCCAGACCATCGCAAACCCTGAAGAGCACCCACTGGCTGGGCTGGTCCTGATCGATTTAAGCCAATCAGTCTGTCAAGTCAACGATTATTGAGCTTACGAAGCACAAGAGCCTGGTAAATTCTAGGGATTCAAAGAAAGGCAAAATACTACTACTACTACCACTAATAATAATAATAATCTACCTGCTTCACATTCTTACAGGGGAGACATGTCAATAACTGGGTATGTATGGGAAACATACAGAGTAAATGAAGATTCCTCTCAGGGAAGGCACTAGCAGCTGCTAGGACTGGGAAAAGCCTCCTGCAGAAGGTGGGATTTGAGGTCAGTCAACAAGCATTTATGATGCACTTACTAGTGCCAAAGGCTGGAGAGACAAAGATAGGCAAAAACAGGGGCCCTGGCCCACAGCTCACAGTCTGCTGGAGAATACCACCTCCAAACAACCACCGTGTACTTAAAAGAGACACATAGAGTAAATGGGAAGTAATTCCAGAGGGAAGGTAACATGAGGGCAGGGATGACCTGGAAAAGCCCCTTGCAGAAGGTGGCATTTGAAATGAGCCTTGAAACAGTGCAGGGAAACCAGGAGGCCAAGGTAAGGAGGAGAGTGTATTCCAAGCATGGGCACAGCCAATGCAAAGGTCTGGAATCTGGAGATGGGTGGTCTTGTTAGAGGAACAGAAGGAGATCAGTGGAGCTAGAGTCCTGTGGAGGTGAATAAATTGTCAGAAGATTATAACAGGGCCCATTGCAGAGAGGATGGTCAGATTGAGGGAGGGCGCCTTTAGGGTACGGGAGGCACGGGCGTGTTTGTAGGTAGCTCAGAAGGAGCTGGTAGCCTGGCGGAGACCGAAGAGAACAGCGAAAGGGAGGGTTCTGGAGAAAGATGAGAAAGAACGGCCCCAGTGGAGGGTGGAGGAAGAATAAAAGGTTGGTCTGGCCCCCACACCAATGAACTGGAGCAAAGGAGGCAGAAGGTGGGAGCTTGGCCAGATGTGATCCCCAGTAGGGAAGAGAGGGTGGAGAAGAGCCTGGTGTTCACTGAGCTGGTTCAACAAGGGGCTGAAATAGAGAAGGATAGTGTGGCTGGTGTAAGGGTGGTCGATGATTGTCGCGAGCTCAAAAAACAGGCTCAGGGGTTTTAAGGCTGAGAGGAAGGATGGAATGATTAGATAAAAGGATTTGGGGGTTTGTGAAGCTGGAGGTGGAGCAGTGGGGGGTGATCGCCCATCTCGACGTCGTACAGTTGGGGCGTCATGGAGGCGGAGGGCCTGGAAACTGAGTGGGCTGAGGAATGAGGGAGTTAGGGTCTTTGCAGTAGGTTCACCTATGAAGTTTCCTAGCATGAGAAGAGATGGGAGGAGAAAAAGACAGTCAAGTAGGCCCAGAAGTCATGGAGCAGGCAGGCGGAGCGCCTCGCTGAGGGAACGGGCTTTGAACCAGGAGGGGTGGGCTAGAACTCTTCCACTCCTGCCTGGACTTCACCGACCTCAGAATTAAGGGTCCTCGGGCGTCAAAGGAGAGGATTTCTGCCAGTCCTAAACTAAGGGTCCTTGCCCTAGCTGAAAGAACATAGCAGGACTCCAGCTCAAAAAGTGCAGTGCCTGTGAAGGGAAAGGTAATAAGCATTTATTTATCAATGGGGAGGGGGAAGGCAATTGGGAATTAAGTGACTCGTCCAGGGTTACACAACCGGTAAGTATCTGAGATCAGATTTGAACTCGGGTCTTCCTGACTCCAGGCTGGGCCCTCTATCCACTGTGCCACCTAGCTGCCCCAGAATAAACACTTATTATTCACCCATTATGTGCCAGGCAGTGTGCTAAGGGCACAGCCACCCTGGGAGGTAGGTGCTATTATCATCTCCATTTTATAGATGAGGAAACCGAGGTTAAGTGAGTAGCCCACGGTCATATAGCTAGTAAATTTCTGAGGTTGGATTTGAACTCAGGTCTTCTTGGCTCCAGGCCCAGTACTCTATCTACTGTACCGCCAGATGCCTCTGAAGATGGTGAAAGACCACCACAGGTGGAATCTGGGCTAGCCAAGACACTGTGGCTTATGGGAAACAGGCCCAGCTGAACAGTGGAGTAAGATGTCCGTCCCTGCAACCAGTGAACTTCCTGAGGACCCGCTGGAGAAAGAAGACAGGAAGAGGGACCCTTCCCTGCTGTGAAGGGGAAGCCCACCAGTGGGGGCTCGTGAGTGTTTTCAGAGGATAGCCAACCACAGGGTCACCCCTAGAGACCTGGTTTTAGTAGTAACTGCTCCTCTGAGACTCCACAATCCAGTTCGAGAACAGATGGGGAAGTGAGCCCAGAGTGGTGTTACAATTGTAATTAATGACTCCCATAATTAAGAGCATGGTTACTATTAGGATTATTTATATAGCATCTTTTTTTTTTTCCTCTTAGGCGATTGGGGTTAAGTGACTTGCCCAGGGTCACACAGCTAGTAAGTGTCAAGTGTTTGGTCTGAGGCTGGATTTGAACTCAGGTCCTCCTGACTTTAGGGCCGGTGCTCTACCCACTGTGCCACCTAGCTGCCCCCTAGGATTATTAATATAAAGAAAAGCACCCCAAAGCCGTGCGCTGTCCCTATAATCACAGGCTCCTGCCCTGGATGCATCAGCACGTGCAGCAGCCCAGGGACAGGCTCCAGGAGACCTCCAGCACTCGTTTGTAAAGGGTTAACTCCCTGGGAGGCCAGAGCCTGGCGGCCATCTTGGGTAAGGGCGGAAGTCCGTTACTCTAGGTCTGAAGTAAACGAAACTGGTCCAGGCCCCTCGGGAGCCACAGAGGGATCCGGCCTCGACCGGGCTTGGGGGCGGGGCCAAGGTTGCGGGCGGGGATTGGCTGAAAAGGAGGGGGCTTCCTAGGCTAGAAGTGTGGCCGCCACCTTGTCTCCATGGCGACGGCCCCTCCTCCCCAGGGCGCCCGCCCGCCCGCAGCGCGGCGCGAGGCCATTCCCGGAAGCGGGTACGCCAACGGCGGCGCGCGCGCTCCCGACGCCCTCCTCCCAGCCCCGGGCTGGGGCGGGGCGCTGCGCACTTTGCGTAGGGCCGGGCGCAGCGCATGCGCGGCGGCCTCCAGAGGCGGAGGCGGCTGAAGAGGCAGCGGAGGCGGAGCCGGGGGGCCGGGAGCCCGGGAGCCGGGGAGCCCGAGCCCGGTCCCGGCAGCGGCGCCGGCTCCCCCGGAGGACAGCGGATCGCGGCGGAGCCCGGGGAGGCCCAGGGGTCTGGGCCGCGCGGGGCAGGACGCGTCGTGACGTAACAGCACGCCCGAGGGAGGGCCCGGAGCTGCGGGAAGGCCGCGACACTCACCCCGGAGCCCGCGGCAGAGACCCCGGACCCCCTCCCCGAGACCCCCGGTAGCCCCGGCGGGGAGAGCCCCTGGACCCACCCACAGAGAACCCCCCCGACACGAGCGGACCGAGGACAGCCCCGGGACACAAGCTGGAGAGAGATCCCCAACCCATAGGGGTCCCAGAAGACCCCAAGACTTCATCCCCTGACAGGGAGACCCCAGACTTGCTGGCGAGAGCTCTCTGATCCTCGGGGGCGGAGCGGACCCCTCCCCCACATTCACTGGGAGGGGGCGGCCCCCGGACCGCTGAGGGGCGCGCATAGGTCCCAGAGACCCAGGCGGAGTCATTGGCAGAGACACACCCTAGACCCCCGAGACTCCAGCCCGGCCAGAACGCTGTAGACCTCGTCCTAGCCCGGGGTGACCTCCAGACCCCCAAAGACTCTGGGGGAGACCTGAGTCTGTGACAGACGCCCCAACCCCTCCCACTGGCTGGGATAGATGGACTCGCTCCCAAGCCCGCAGGGGCCCTAGAATTGTGGCCCAACTCATCCCGCTGGGGGTGAGACCCCAGACCCAGGAGAGAGAGATCCCTGATCCTGGGGAAGGGAGGTGAGGACACCTGGGTCTGGCTGGGAAGGCAGGAGGGAGGAAGGACCTCCCGCAGTCTGGCGGTCTGCTCCGGGCAGGGATTACCCAGAAAGGTGGGAAAGCCAGGGCTGCCCAGGCAGGACCGCACCCAGCGTGGCCCCCAGCCCCTTTCCCTTCCCGTGCCTCCTGGGCCCAAGTAGTGGTTTGAGCCATCCCAAGCCTTGCCCTTCATCTGCAAGGAAGGAGAAGCTGATTGAGGGCAGCGGGGACGCAGGGGGAGAGGGAGCTAGCCTGAACCCTGCCCTCCCCTGCATGCCCTGCTCTGCCCTAATCTTTATTAACCTTTCCTCCCAGGCCCAACTTTCCTAAGCTCTGTCTTGTCTGATTCGTCCTGTCTTCCCAGGCCGCCACTGCTTGGCATGGAGGGCAACCTGTCCGGGCTGGTGCCCGCTGCAGGGCTGGTGCCTGCGCTACCCCCGGCGGTGACTCTGGGGCTGACTGCTGCCTATACCACGCTGTACGGCCTGCTCTTCCTCTCGGTCTATGCCCAGCTCTGGCTGGTGCTGCTCTATGGACACAAGCGGCTCAGCTATCAGACGGTGTTCCTGGCTCTGTGCCTGCTCTGGGCCGCCCTGCGCACCACCCTCTTCTCCTTCTACTTCCGAGACACGGCTCGAGCCAACCGCCTGGGCCCCCTCCCCTTCTGGCTGCTCTACTGCTGCCCTGTTTGCCTGCAGTTCTTTACCCTCACACTCATGAACCTCTACTTTGCCCAGGTATCAATGCCCGGGATTGAGGGCAGGAGAGGGGGCTGAGGGAGAGGGAAGGGGCGAAGGTAGGCGGCCTGCCCCGCGAACACAGCCCGCCCCCAGGTGCTAAGGCCCCTACTCTGGCTGTGGGGTCAGGGGCCCCCCTACTGTGGCCCTGCTGTCAGCGCCGTGGCTCCAGGGTTCCGCAGCCAGGGCTGTCGTTTACGCATCCTCCCTCTGGCCTAGGTGGTGTTCAAGGCAAAGACAAAGCAGCACCCGGAGATGAGCCGGGGCCTGTGAGTATTCCTGCCAAAGGCCCAAGAGCGGGTGGGTCAGCATGATGGCCGTTCGTCCCGTTCCTGCCCAATGGGCCAGACGGGGTGGTTGTGAGACTAATGTGAACGGGGGACTCTATTGGGATGGCTTCATCACTTGCAGTGGTGATGCCCACCTGGTGCCCTCCTCATGGCATGGAGGGCACCTGAGGTCCTTGCTGGCTCCCATGGGGCCTGCAGGTCAGTGGCCAAGGCCTGTCCCCAGAGGCTTGGCCACTGCAGCTTGGGAAGCTGCTCCAGTCTGAAGGGTGGGGGTACCCACGCGGCTGACGTAACGGGGAGCTGGGGAGGGGACTGACCAGAGCCTGTGGGCCATAGGCTGGCCGTGCGGGGGGCGTTCGTTGGGGCCTCGCTGCTGTTCCTGCTGGTGAACGTGTTGTGCGCCATGCTGTCCCGTCGGCGCCGGACACAGCCCTGGGCCCTGCTGCTGGTGCGAGTGCTGGTGAGCGACTCGCTTTTCGTGATCTGTGCGCTCTCTCTGGCTGCCTGCCTCTGCCTGGTGGCCCGGCGTGCCCCTTCCACCAGCATCTACCTGGAGGCCAAGGTAGGGGCGTGGCTCATGGGCTTCTAGGCTTGCTTCTGGGCTGAGTGGGGCCTAGGCAGAGAGCTGGAGCCACCAGATAGGGGGCTGAGTCAGACCCAAGAAGCCTGACTTAAGTAAGCACACTTCTCTGTGTGTCCAGGGGACCAGTGTGTGCCAGGCTGCGGCCATGGGCGGGGCCATGGTCCTGCTCTATGCCAGCCGAGCCTGCTACAACCTGGCAGCCCTGGCGCTGGCCCCCCACAGCCGGCTGGACTCCTTCGATTATGACTGGTACAACGTCTCTGACCAGGTGGGTGAGCTGCCGGGGGTCCTCCTTGTCCTCTGAATCTTGTCTTTGGCAGTCGCCTCGTCTGCCTTCTCAGTCCCCCGTCCGATATGGGTCCCTTTCCTCTCCCCCTCGGCAGGCTGACCTGGTGAATGATCTAGGGGACAAAGGTTACCTGGTCTTTGGCCTCATCCTCTTTGTGTGGGAGCTGCTGCCCACCACCCTGCTTGTTGGCTTCTTTCGGGTACACCGGCCCCCGCAGGACTTGGTAAGCTCCTCCCTTGCCCACCCTCCCGAGGTCCACCGTGGGGGCCAGGGGCACCTGATGGGGGCTGGGAGAGCTCGCACGGAGCTGCTAACCTCCTCTGGCCTCCTCCTGAAGAGCACCAGCCGGATCATCAACGGGCAGGTCTTCGGTTCCCGTTCCTACTTCTTTGACCGGGCTGGACATCGTGAAGACGACGGAGGACCATGGGAGCACAGCCGGGGAGAGAGCACCAGGTATGGGGTGCCGTGGAGATTGCAGTGGCTGCTGGGGCCTTGTGTGAGGGGGGCCAGGATGCCTTTGTCCATAGGGAGCTCAGGGCTTGTCATACACCATCCTTTGGGGGCGCTGCCACCTCTGGTCTCCCTGCTTTGGTAGCCATCGCTATCCTGCCCACTGCCCCTTGCCCTTTCACCTTGGGATAAAGGTCGAGGATCCCAGCTTCTCTGGTCTGGGGCACTTCTGGCCTGCTGCCTGAGGAACTCCAAGTCCCATCTTGCTTTGCTTTCTAGCCCATTGCTTGTTGGGGCCTGTGTGTTCAGACCCCCCGTCTCTCCCTGCAGCCTGTCGGGGAGCCTGGGGGCTGGCAGCTGGTACGGTGCTATTGGGCGGGAGCCCGGTTGGTGCGGGGGCAGCCAGAGTCGAAGCACACCGCTCCTCTTCTCCCAGGTGGCCGGGCCTGCCGGCCACCATCACCACAGCCTCTACTCCACCCCGCAGACCTGAGCTCCCTGCTTCCTGGGGGTGCCCCCCTGCCTGCCTGCCTTCCGCAGCCCCATGGCGGCCCTGACCTCTGCCCTGCCCCGCCCCTGCCCCACCCCTGCCCGTCTGCAGCTTGTAGTGCTGAGTCTGGCCTCTCAGCAGCCCCTTGTAGTGAGCTTCTGCCTCCTGCTGGGGGCGGCACTGTCCGCCACACGGAGCCTGCTACCTCTCTTGTGCCTGCTGCTCAATAAACAGTGCCCATGCCCCCATTGGAGCCATGGTCTGGTGTTTGTGCCCTCTCGACTCAGACTTGACTTCCAGGCCCTGACGCTGGTCCAGCCCAGAAAAGGGGGGGGGTGACTAGCAAAGCTGGGCTTGGAACCTGGCAGCGACCCTGACTCCAAAGTCAGGGTCCTCTCCCCCCTCGTCTCTGGATCTCCAATGATTCCTTCCTATCCTTGGAACAAGGGCCTCTTGTGGGGGAGGGTCAGTGGATCCTTCCCTGTCTCAGCTTCCTGGAATTTGGAGGGCCCAGGAGTAAGAACCGTCAAAGGGAGGTAGTGGGTGGGCCTCTTCACTAAAGTGGGCCTTCTTTCGAATCTCCCCTTCTGAGGAAGGATAGAATACTCTGGTTCAAAGGAGTTCCAGGTCCCTGTCAATCTGCAGGGCTCCATAGTGGTGGTGGTGGTGGGGGTGGGGTTGACTGTCCCCAATGAGGACACTGAAATCAGGGCCTGTCTAGACCTTGGAAGGTTCTTCAGGGTGGAAGGGCCCCATGGATCAATGGGTCAAGGGCTGAGCAGCTAAAGAACCATTAGCCTCTTCAAATTAAGGGAATTGGAACAAAAGAGCTTCCAGAAGGAGCCAGGGGCAGGGAGAAAAGGGATGAGGCCCCGGATGGATGGATGGGTGCAGGCAACCCATGGAAATGTTGGGTAGCAGATTGGTGGCAATGGGAAGAGGGCTGAGTTTGGAGCCTTAAGACTCAGGGTCAAATGTTACATATTAACCCTGAGGGAACACTACCTTGCACAACCTATGGAGCAGGTGAGGTCACCCACTGGGAGGATGAGGCATCCATCCCAGCCTGGCCTGGCCGCTGGCCCTGTCTCCCTCCTCTCAGGTGCTCTCTTCTGGGAAATGATGGCAGTGCGGAGAGCTGGAGAGCCAAGCCCCTCTGGTGTTCATTGGGTCCCTCCTAGCTTGGTCCCTGCTGCCCCACCCTGTACTTAGGCCAGGGCCCTGCTGAAAATGCTAAACAGAGGGGTTTGTCTGTCCCCAAGGGCCCAAGATTGGCTGGGTAGTGCCAGCTGAGTACACTGGTTTATTTCCTTTGGGCACTTTACTGACCCCTCTCCTCTAGAAGTTAATGCCTGTCCTGGTTTTGTCCATTGTTGAGCCAGGCACGGCTGTAAGACAGCTAGCCTAGGGTCAGATCGAGTTAAGGAAGGGGCTCAATCCTGACGGCAGTAGGGGTGTAGCGATGAATGGAGTGCAGTAGCCCTGGAGAAGGCATGGGGGGCAGGGGCAGGAAAGGTGGGGAAGTGGGGGTCTGCCTCTGGCCAGCTCAGAAAAGGTTAGTCACGGTTAGCTAGCATGTTCCCATGTTGGAGGAGGGTGCTTTCTCTCGGGGTGTCCCAATCCCAGCCCCGGTTTCCCCACGCCCCCGCCGCTGCTGCACACAGTTGGGACTTCGAGACGCGTCTGCAAGGCAACGAGGCGGCAGGCGGGGGCAGGAGAAGAGGCTGGCAACCAGTAGGAGGGGGCCAGGGACGGTCCGGGGTTCACAGGTTGGTCTCTAGCTCCTAGGGATGGTGCCGAGGGTCACAGGAGACCGCGTGTGTCTCCGTGCGAACGTGAGTGTTGGCGGTGGGGTGGGGCGGGAGGGACGGTGACCATATTTTGTGTGTGTGTGTGTGGTGCGTGAGAATGGCGAATGGCTACCTGCGTGAATCTGAACGTGTGGCGTGAGTATGCGAGTGGACAATTGGTGACTGTGTGGATGAGCCCACGAGAAGGTGGCGTGTGGGACGTGCGTGGACGCGCGTGCGCTGGGGTGCTCCGTTTAACCGTCTGTCCCCACCTCCAATGGTCCGTGGGCTGGGGGCGCTGTCTGCGGGGCAGCTCCTGTGGTCACTGCGGTCCCCGACAAGCTCATCTGTGGGTCCCTCGGGAGCTGTCACGCCCTCCCTTGGGAGCCTTCCAGTAACTGGGACCGGCAGAACCTCTTGCCCACCCTCCTCCCACGCGGGGTCGAAGGTTCTGGCTGTGCGGGAGCCCCTCTCCGCCCTTCTCCGCTCCTCTCCCTCCCGTGGGGGCGCCTCCCGCATTGCTGGACTCCGCCCTGCGGCTGTTCCTTGAAACCCTGGGACAGAGGCGGGGGTGCGGGGAGTTTCGTGCGCGGTGCCCCTGGGGAGGAGGAGCTCTGCACCCGCCGTTAGGGGTCTCTCGGACCAAGTTCCCAGCTCGGCCAGGCTCCCGTACCCCTCCCCCGCCCCTGGCCAAGTGGGGCGCCCGGCTTCGTCTGCGAGAGGATGCTGCAGCCAGACACGGAGCAGGGCGGGGCCAGGCCAGGTGTAGCGGCAGCCGGAGGAGGAAGCCTTGGGGCCGGGGGCTTGGAGGGCTCGCCTCTCTGCGATGGGCTCCTCCCTCTCCCCCTGGCTCCCCGAGGCTTCTCTGTCCCTCCCTGCTTCCCTCCCGCGAAGCCGCCTCCTCTGCAGCTCCTCATTACTCTCTCCTGCTGCATTCCTCCTTTTCCGCTCTGCTTAACGCCCTTGGTCTCAGTCTCCCTCCCTCTCCCCTTCTCGGTGTCTCTCCATTCAGCCCCCTGCTCTTTCCTTTCCTCTCCTCTCCATCTCCCATTCTCTTCCTCCTCCTCCCTCCACCTCTTCCTAGCTGTCAACCTTATCCTCGCCCTCTGCCCCTCTCCCTCCAGCCTGTCTGGCTCCTTCTCCCAGTCTGTTTCCTCTTCCTTCTTCTCCCCCCCTTTCCATCTCCTCTTTTTCCCTCCCTCTCCTCCTATAACGGAGCCCCGAGAACAGGGCTGATGAAAGGGGCAGAGGAGGTAAGGGAAGGGGGAATGATGCAGGCGAGGAGAAGGGAGAAGAGAGGCAGAGGAATTGGGCACAGATTAGCAATGAGTACAGCTCAGAGGGACGAGATTAGTCCTAGGAGTGGGGGAACTGAGGACCCAGGACTAGTGGGGTGTGGACACTGGGACATCTATGGAGGGGCAGCATGGGGACGAAGAACAGCAGAAACACAGGACAAATGCAAAAGGGGGCTCCAAGAGGGAAATGTGGGGGCAAGGAATGGGCACAGGCAGGGAAGTTGGGGGAATTGCTTTTTGGGAAGGGGCATAGTTGGCATCAGGCAGATTCTTCTGTAATACCCCCTCCCTGTCCTCAGTGTCCATGCTTATCACCACTGTGACCAGAAGACTTGGGGCAAACCCGGAGCTCCCAGCAGAACATCTGCACATCTTCAGGCTGTGCCATGAAACCCACCACCCTCCTGGCACTGCTGATTCTAGTGCTGCTCTACCTGATGTCAGGAGCCCTGGTGTTCATGGCACTGGAGCTGCCAAAGGAACAGCAAACTCAAACGAATTTGGGAAGGACCCGAGAAAAGTTCCTTCAGGCACACCCTTGCGTTAACCTGACGATGCTGCAGGCTTTTATAGAGGTGAGGGGGGGGGCGGGGGGGGCATGAAGTGGGGAGACCACCGCCTGGCTCATGCCATGCTGTGGTGCCCATAGGAGGAGACTAGGGGCTCACGAGGGCCCCAGGATTTTTGAATGAGGCCTGTACATTTTCAGTGGAACTTCGGAGTGAGTCAACCATAAGACCTCTTTCTGGGAACTCAGCTGGTGGTATGGGTTGGGGGAGGCCGTTCCCCAGCTCAGAGGTGGGAGCTGAATGAGGAAGATTCTCCTCTTTATCTTCTAACACACCCAAACAATCAATGGATGGAAATGTACTGAGGAAGAAAAGGGGAGCAGGGGCCCAGGAAAGGGGTGGGGGAGGGTTTGAAAACAAAATGCATCAGGCAGGCAGGTACAGCTAGACCCTAGAAGGGAATCTTCTTCTGCTTCTCCTTCGCCCCAAGGCTTTGTCACAACTTACCAATACATTAGGTGTTAGGCTGAGACCCCGGGGAGACCTCAACAGGTCTCTGCTTGGAGGAGAGGGCTGGGAAGTGGGGGTGCACCAAGGAGGTTTCTTCCCTTTGATTAATTCCAGACTCAAGTCATTTAAAACTAAGATTAAACTGCAATAAATGATTTTTTAAAAATCTATGCCCAACTCCTTCCACTCTCCCCCATTGCTCTGGGCTTGAGGAATACTAGAGTCAAGATGCACCCACAGGGGGCTGAGAAAATCCAGTCCATTCTGGAGAGTGGAGCAGCTTTGGTGGAAAAAGGTATGTGTGTGTTGGGAAGTGTAGCTGGGTTCGGGGTAGGGATCCGCTATCAGAAGAAGAATCTCTGGAGTGCTGAGGATGCTCTCCAAGAGTCCAGGACCTGGGCTTTCTACACAGACCACAGAGAGAAGTGACCCATTTTCCTCATTGCAATGGAAATGCTGTATATCTTGAAAAAATACTGAGGAGCAGAGCCTGGAGATGGGGGTGGAATCATTCTGGATTTCTGGGGTAGGAAGGCTGTGAGTAACGTGGCTGCTGAGCCACTGTTGACAGATAGGAAGGGTGATGCTGGGGCTGCAGCAGCCCACTTCAAACTGGCAGAGCTAAGAGGGATGGGCAGCAGTCAAAGCTCTGGGGGAGAAGCTAAGTTTGTGAACCTGGGAGGAGCTATGAGGGAAGGAGAGGTAGGCTTTGAAGGGGACCAGCTGGTCTTATGGAAGACTGGCTTAGCAGAAATGATTGGGTGCTAGAACACCTGGTATTTACCAGCTCTAAGATCCCCTCAAATCCCTTCCCTCATCTGGACCTCAGGAGATGCTGCTGGACTGGGACAGCTCTAAGCTGTCATCCATCTCCTAAGCTGAGGAGAGGCAGGGTCTGGTTTGGAGAAACTCAGAAAGTAGGGGAGTCAGACTCCAGTGGATGTGGCAGGGGACGGGGCATGTTGGCGACCCTTTAATCCCTTCCTTTCCATCCTGTAGCAGGTGGCCAATGACCTGGCCATGGGTGCAGACCCTGGGAACTACTTCACCAACATCTCCCGCTCAGCCTGGAACCTGGGTAGTGCTTTCTTCTTCGCTGGCACCATTGTCACCACCATCGGTGTGCAGGGCAGGGGTGGTGTGGGGTCACTGGGGTGATAGATCACCAGCAGAGCCAGGGTCAGGCAATCAGGAAGAGTGGGGGAGGAGAGGAAGGGAAGAGGGAAGAGGCACTTACCTAAGGGGCCTGAGCCCAGGCTCTTCAGGGGCCCTTTCTTCCTGCCAAGGGCCAAGCAGCCCCCTGACTCTCTCTACGCATCTGTTTTCTTTACCGGGGCTGATCGTCTCCTCCCCCACCTTTGCTGGGGCCAATTAAAGTAGGGACAAAATTAGAGGAAGTCTCCTGAGTACCTCCAGTTCCTGGTGCAGACTGCTCCCCACCTTCCTGGTCCTAGGGTAGCTCTGTTCACCTCCTCAGGGCCAGTCTAGGCTGGTTGGGGCTTTCCCAAGGGTCCAGGCTGTCTCCTCCTCCCAGACCTTAGTTGTTGGCACTGAGGAGGTGACTTGGTGGATTGGCCTGGACCCTGGGCTGATCCTCACTTTCGTCCAGGCTATGGGAATATGGTCCTGCACACGGACGAGGCTCGCCTTTTCTGCATCTTCTATGCCCTGGTGGGGATCCCACTTTTCGGGATGCTGTTGGCAGGGGTCGGTGACAAGCTGGGCTCTACCCTGCGCCGGGGCATTGGCCACGTGGAAGCCATCTTCTTGGTGAGCGGCCATGCATTTGGGGCCCTGTCGGGTCCCCCCATGGCTTCCTCTGCATCCCTATCCCAGAGGGTGTTTGGAGCAGTCAGAGGCACCTAATGGGGATGTGCCACCCCCAATTGTTGAGCTCTCAGTTCCTTTGAGTCTCAGATTCTTTATCTGTAAAATGGGGGTAGCAAACTTTGTAGGGAAATTGTGAGGAAAGTGCTTCAGAGACCTGAAAGTCTGAGAGAAAGGGGAGTTAGGGTTATTCATAACAAAATGGGTACTCTAAGATTCTCTTATCTTGGATGATGGCCAGCTCTTCCCTCTCTGGGCCTCAGCTTTCCCCTTTGTAAAAAGGGACGGCTGGCCTAGGGGCTGTCTAATCTAAGGAACTCGATGCCTCTGGACCCAGCCTGACTCGCGCGGGGCTCTCTCTATACCACGCCCCCTCCCCCACCCCTAGAAGTGGCAGGTCCAGCCGGCCATGGTACGCTCGCTCTCGGCGCTGCTCTTCCTCCTGGTTGGCTGTCTTCTCTTCGTTTTGGTGCCCATGTTCGTGTTCCGCTACACCGAGGGCTGGAGCACCCTGGAGGCCCTCTACTTCATCATCGTGACGCTCACCACCGTGGGCTTCGGGGACTTCGTGGCCGGTGGGTGAGAGGCCCGAGCCAGGGAGGGAGGGACCCGGCTGTTCGTACCCGGAGCCGTGGACAGATGGTGGCAGGGCCGGTGGCGGGCAGGGGAGCGGAAGCTCGACCAAGTTCGCGCCCTGGGGGCGAGGGGCAGGGGAGGAGAGCAGCCGGTCCGCAGCGGCTTCGCCCGGCCCGACCCCAACTCCGACGGCTGCCCCCAGGCGCGAACCCTGAGCAGGAGTTCTTGGCCTACCAGCCCATTGTCTGGTTCTGGATTCTGATGGGCCTCGCCTACTTCGCCTCCATCCTCACCATGATAGGGAACTGGCTCCGGGTCGTGTCGCGCCGCACTCGGGCTGAGGTAGGAGGCTGCTCTCTCCGACGGGGCGGGCGGGGAGGCGCTTTTCGTCTACGACCTCCCTCCCACACCCAAACAGAGGTACACCCACGTTACCCCCCGGCAAGCCTTTCGGTGTGCAGGGTACTGGCCTGGGAGCCCAGCAGCAGCAGGGATTCCAGGGAGGCGCAACCAGGGCTCTCGAGGAACTTGTTAGTGTCACGGGAGACATCACCCACTCTCACGCGCTAAGAATCACTCTTCTCCCCCCCCCCCCCAATCTCCTCCGCTAGAGCTTTGTTTTCAAAACATTTCTTTCTCACAGCAACCCTGGCTGGGGGTTGGGGGGCACACCCGTCTGGTTTATTACCTACCTCCCCAACACTAGACAACGGAAACTGAGCAGAGCAGGGACTGTTTGGCTTTTGAATCCTTAGCCATGGTCTCAGGAGACAAGCCACTGAGACTCTGGAGGTCTGGGTTCTAATCCCGCCTCTGACATTAAGCTGGGCCGCCTTAGGTAAGGCACCCAATGTCGCAGAGCTTCTTTAGCTCCTTCTCTGCAAATGCCTGGAGCACGTCGGTTAGGAGGTTCAGATAGGATGCTTAAAGCGCTTGAAGTCGCCCAGGCGCAGACCCCGCCCCCTCCCCCCTAGCAACACTGCGGTTGCACTCCGTCCAACCCTCTCTTCGCCCCGCAGATGGGCGGCCTTACCGCTCACGCAGCCAGCTGGACAGGCGGCGTGACAGCGCGGATAACGCACCGGCCGCCACTGCCGGAGAAGCCAAGCTCCGGACCACCCCAGGCGCCCCCTGCCAAGCTTGGACCGAGGCCGCAGAGCCAGGAGAAGGTGGAGGCACCTTCTTCGCCGCTCACAACCTCTGTTTCTGCGCCCTTGGATTACCCTGGAGAGAACTTCGCTTTCATAGACGAGTCGTCGGACACGCAGAGCGATCGGGGTGATGTGCTCCCCCGCAACCTCCGAGCCGGCCTCAAACAGCCCAGGAAACCCGCCCGGCCCCGGAACTCCGGCCGCCCCCCAAACAAGGAACTCGCGTAGTCCGGGGCTGGGCACGGGGAAGGACTGGCCGGCACTGCCTTCTCCCGCCCACGGATCCTTGTTTCGGGCTTCCCTCGTACTCCCCTGCTCCTCTCTCCACCCTCCCGGTTTTCGTTTAGCCAAAGAGCTCCCATTCCCCATGGGGGCATCCTGGGAACTGGGGCTCCCGATTCTCGCTCCCCCTTCTCTAAAAGCTCTCCTGCCTGTCTCCTCTCCCTAGGTCCCCACGCCTGGGCTTCCTGGCCTGGCTCAATAAAAGAGAAGGCTTCTGGCCGCTTCCTTTTGTCTTCTGTCTCTCCCACCTCTAGGGGCCCGAGGCCGGGCCGGGCCGGAGGTGGGGTGGGCTGTGGTGTATGCGCTGTGCTGTGGCTCTGGATGGGGTCCCTCAGGGGGTTCGGGGAGGCCAAAGCTCACAAACGGCTTGGATTGGACGGATCACTCAGAGGACCTGGGTTCAAATCTCAGCGCCTTCCTTGACCTATGTGACCTGGGGCAATAAACAGTCACTAGTTAAGTGAGAGAAATCTCCTTTGGTTTAAGTAACTGGTTTTCTTGGTCTGGTTTTTGATTCCCACTCCTCAGTTTTGTCATCTGTAGTATGATGGGGGCAGGGCAACCAGTGGCGAAGTGGCTAGAGCACCGGGCTTGGAATCTTCCTGAGTTCAATTCAAGCATCAGGCACTTACTAGCTGTGTGACCCTGGCCAAGTCACTTAACCCTGTCTTCCCATTTGTAAAAGGAAATGGCAAACCACTCAAGTATCTTTGCCAAAGAAACCCCCAATGGGGTCACAGAGTCGGCCACGGCTAAACAACAACAATGACGAGGGGGATTGGCTAGATTGCCTCCCGGGTCCCTGCTGGTCCGGGAGTTTCTGATTCTGGAAGCCTTCTCAGCTCCAGCCAGGGCAGAGGGAGAATGGCCTTTAAGTGGTAGGGTCCGAACTCCCAACTCGTGACTCAATCAATCCCAACGTCTCTTCCCGCCCTCCCCCCCTCACTTCCTGAGAGCACGACCCTCACAGATCAGTTGTTCTACTGGCTCAGTCCGTTGGGGCGCAGGGATGGAGAGCCAAGACTCCCATTTCCCGGCGAAAGTCCAATCACGGGACCAAACCGAGAGCCAAACTTCTGTTCAGGCGGGCTGGAGGAGTCCAGCCTCGACCCAGGAGGACTCGATCCTGGGCTTCTGCTCTCTCAAGGACTCGAACGGAGTAAGGCTTCACTGGGGACCACTGGCTTCCAGGAGCTCCCTGGCCTCCAGAACCCCACTCCACCCCCCATCTCCGCAGCCAACGTTCAGTCTGCTCGGGCCCCAGTCTCCAGCTCCTCCGCAATCTCCAAACCAACCTTTCTACCCTTTCCTTTCTGTCCCTCGGGGCCTTTCACCTAGCATCGTCGTTCCTGGGGTCCTCTGCAAAATCCTCCTCGCTGCCCTACTGCCCTACCTCTCGAACTCGCTCACGGACCCTGGGCCACCTCATCAGGGAAGGCGGCCGAAATGTGCTCTGGGTCCTTTAGAAAGAGGGGAGGGGTGGGATGGGGCGACCTGCCAGGACCGAGGCAGTGGCTCGTGGTTCCCGCTCCTTCCCCTCAGTCCTCCCTAGCCCCGAGACTCCCGCTCTCCTTCCGTCGGCAGGAGTCGGAAGGTTCCCAAACGTCCCCGGAGGAAAGCCCTGCAACCCGAAGGGAAGTTCGGAAGCTTGGGTCAGCGGCAGGCGCGGCCCAGCCAAAACAAGAAGGCAAGCCGAGTGGGGAACGGGACAGCAGCGTCCACTCCAACTCGAGCAGGGTTGCGCCCCGTAGCTGGGGGACGCAAAGCAACGGAGCGGAAGAGGACGAAGTCGACTTTAGCCGCGCGTCCGTCAGCGCCCCGCAACCGCGCCGGATCCTGCCTGCTGTGCGGGGAAACCAAGAGTCTGTCGAAAGGAGCAAATACCCTGGTCGGTCCGGGCTGGGGAGGGATGCGTCCTGCTGGGCGTCTCTCCAAGGCCCCAGGAGGGAGAACCAGGAGGGTGCTCTGAAGGTCTAGCGGGAGGGACCCGTCCCCTCTAGCACTTCTCCAAGTCCCTGGAGGGGAAGGAGGCCCGGTACTCCTGGGCTAGGGGAAAAGCCATGATCCCTTCAGCGACCACCCCAAGCCCCTCAATGGGCAGGACGCGGGGGCCAGGGACTCCGGAAGGGTCCACGTAATGACTATAATTACTCTCTCACCTCCTCCCCTCAACTCCGCCCTCCTAGAGTCATCTGACCAACCGTGCATGGAACTGCGAGAAGCTACGCACCGTGCCTACCGGGCTGAGCTACAGAACCGAGTGCGTGCGGGCTGCGAGCTGCCGGGGGCTGGACTCTGGGAGTGGGTCTCGTTGGCGATTCTCCCCTCTCTGGCGCAGTCTGGGAAGCTTCTCCCTGAAACCCGCGCCCTACCTGCTGTTTCTTCCTTTCATTCCCAGCTGCCCCTGCCTCTGGCCAACCTCATGGAGGAGGAGGCGCTGGAAATCCTTACCAAGAGCCTCCGTAGTGAGCGCCCCGGGGGATACCCTCACTTCGGGACAAGGGCGGGGGTGGATGAACCCACTAAGCGCGGAGGGGGGTCCATGGAGGTGGGGTTCAGGGGAGGGGCGGGGAGGTCACCTATGAGGGTCTTGCCCCTCTCCAACGTCCATTCCTACATCTCCACTACATCCCCGAGACGCCGGCAGGGTAGGGATGATTACTATCATTCTGGTGAGGGATGGAAAAGCAAGGTGGCCGTGGCGTGGCGGAGAGGGCTGGCCTGCTCAGGAGTCAGATCTGGGTTCAAGTGCTGCTCCAGCCATGCATAGGAGCTGCGAGACCAGGGCACGTCCTTTAGCTTGGAGTGCCTAGGCAATCTTTGAAGTGCAGGAAAGGTGCCGAGGTGTACGCGGCGGAAAGCCCCGGTCCGGAGCGAGCCAAAGAGCGGATGGGGGAAACTGAGATCCGGACAACGGGGAGACCTCGGCGAGAAAGGCGCTGTGGGGGCGGGCGGGTGCAGGGCAGGTGCCCACCTGCGCGCCCTCCATCCCGCCTCCTTATCCCCGCCCAGGTTACAGCAAGGGCATAGGGAAAGACCACAAGCTGACCCAGCAGCTACGGCGGCACGTGGAACAGCTGCGCAAGAACCTGATGAGTCGCAAATGCACCTGAGCACCTCGTGGTCTCCACGGGAACCCCGCCCCGCCGGGCGCTGGCCCCGCCCCGCGGGACTCCGCCCCCCCCGATAAATAAAGGCGCTCCGCCCTCTGCTCTATCCGCCTGGGTGACTGCGCCTGCGTAGGAAGCGTGCGGGGCGGGACAAGCGGAAGGGTGGGGGGGTCGTTCCCGGTGCCACGTGACAAAGACGTCCCGCCCCGCAACCTTCAACGGTCACCGCAGTGACCTTGGGAGCCTGTGCGCCCCCTACGGGCTCCGCCCCCTCCGGCGCGCGGCCCTGCCGCCCTGCGACCTTGAGTGACTTTCGCTTCCGCCCGCCTCTGTGCCATATAAGGCGCTGGTCCCACCCCCAGGAGGCTCGTCCCAGCTCGAGGCCGCGGCCTCATTTGCATACGGCTCCGCCCAAACGACGTCATACCAAAACCCAACCCCCCCCACCCCCCGCCGCCGCCTCCTCTTTAATCGGGCTCCCACATTCCCGTATCTAGTTACGAACGGGTACGCAAACGCCTCCGTTTCACCGCAGCCACACGTGAGGCGGAGCTGGCGGGGCGCGAAAGGGTTTCTGTCTGTCCCGCGAGCGCGCGCGCGCGCTCACTCCCACAGCAGATTTCCACGCGCCTTCTTTCCATAAAGAGATTTCCGTGGACGCCCCGCCCCCTGAACCGGGGCTTCGCCCAGGCGCCCCTCGGTTCCGCCTACTGTGTTGTTTTGCGTGCGCTCCGGGGCCGCTCCGCCCCCTCCCTGCCTCCCTCCGCCCCTCCCATCTCGGCTTTGCATAAGCTCCGTCCTGTCCGCTCCCCACCGCGTGCTGAGAGTACTGCTTTGCATACGCGCCGGGCCAGCCCCGCCCCCGGCCCCCTGCTTTGCATACGCGCCGGGCTGGCCCCGCCCCCGCTGTCAGCTGGAGGAAGCCGAGTAGGAAGCGGCCGCGATGTCCTTTTGTGTCCTACAAGCCGCCGGCGGCGCCGAGTGAGCGACGGGCCGGGCCGGGCTGGGCCGGGACGCGGCGGAGGCGGCGGCGGAGGAGGCGGGGCCCGGGCCGGGCGGCTTCCGTCCAGCACCGCGCAGCCCCGGCGCCGCGGGGCCCCCATGCCGGGCCGGCCGCCGCCGCTGCTGCTGCTGCTGCTGCTGCTGCCGCCGCCGCCGCCGTCGCCGTCGTCGCTGCTGCGGAGCCCCAGGTCCGGGGCCGGGCGGGGGCCGGGCGGGCAGGGCCGGGCCTAGGGGCCGCGGCCATGTGCGGCCGTCCGGGTTCCCGCTATCGCGGGGCGCCTGGGCCGAGGCCGCGCGGCTCCGGGAGACACGTGGGGGCCTCGGGTCCGCGTGGGCGGGGGCCCCTCCCCGAGGCAGCGCGGGCTTTCTGGGTCAGGGGTCATGACTGGCGGGGGGGGGCAGCAAGTTTGTAACACCCCCCCCAAGCCGCCGGGAGGTGGCCGTGGCGGAGGGGGGGGGCTGGGGGGGTGTTATAGGAGGAAGCGCAAGGCCCCGCCCCTCCCCCTCCCCCTCCCCCTCCCCCCGCCGGCGTACTCGCCAGGTGAGCGGGCGGGCAGGTGAGTGTACGCAGGCCCTTGGGGGAAGGGAAGGAAGTTCATGCCCTTTGGGTGGGGGCGGGGAGGGGTTCCCCACCGTCCGATGGAGGAGGTGAAAGGTGCCTAAGGCTGTGCCTCGGCCGCCCTACCTTCGAAGAGGCCAGGTGTGGGCAAAAGGCAATATCCAGGGAGCACCTCTGAATACGGAGTGGGGGGAGGGCCGGGGCAGCCCTTTGGGAGCTGAAGGTCGCCGGCTTGTAACTTTAACCTGGGGCTCGAGATTACTCACACATGGGGGTCATGGATGCGCCTCACTTGCTTTCTGGGGATCCATGAATGGGGGGCCAGTTAAATTTCTTGAGACTTTTCTCCTGCTGCCCCCCTCCCCCCAGCCTGTTTCCCTGGTCCTAGCATAGGGCCTATCTCTTTCTGGGAATAAAATTCCTCTGGACTCTGCTCCCTGCCTCCTTTCTTCCCCCCGCCCCAGGTGCTGGCTCTGTGCCCAGCTGTTGGGCAACCAGGATGGATGGCTCCCCCTTCTCCTCCTGGAGCCTCTTGCCACTCCGGGCCAGCCAGAAGCATCCTGGAGGCTTAGTGCCTTGAACCCTGGGCTGGAGGGGAGGAGACTTTGGCTGCTAATCCAGGCTCTGGCCCCATACATATCCGGCAAATCGTTTTCCTTCCCCAGTTATAAAATAGAGGCCTTTCTAGCTCCTTCGATTTCTGAGGGTCCTTTCAGCTCTGACAGTTTATAATTCTATGGTCTGATGAGATAAGTCCCCACTTTGCTCCTCAGGTGGCCAGGCCCCTGCAGGGCCTCGATCCCAGTGACAAAGGGCACCAGCACTTCTCCCATTAATCTTTCCCCTCCCCTTTGTTTCCCCCAGGTGCCTTTCGATCTCTAAGTCAGGCCTCCCTGGATTTTTCTAGGACCTTTGCTCACCCATTTCTCCTTTTTCTCCCTCTTCCACCAGGTGATCAGCAGCACCATGTCTGGCCGGGAACGAGGGTCGGAGCCTCTCTATATCAAGGCAGAGCCTGCCAGCCCAGATAGTCCTCGGGGCTCCTCGGAGGCTGAGCCCGAACCACCGCCTGCCCGGCCTCCTGGCCCTGGCCCCGCTCGGCGACGACTCCCCACGGGCAGGGAAGAGGATGAGGAAGGGGAGGGCACGGGGCTGGGTGAGAGGGGTAGCGGCGGCGGTGGGGGCAAGCTGGTGCTGAGCTCACTGCCCAAGCGCCTCTGCCTGGTGTGTGGGGACGTGGCTTCTGGCTACCACTATGGCGTGGCCTCCTGTGAGGCATGCAAGGCCTTCTTCAAGAGGACCATCCAGGGTGAGCATGACCCCGGTATTTCAAGGTCTTAGGCTCTTTTCCCGGGTTCCCAGCAGTGGGTGGGCCAACATGCAACGAGTCCTAGCCCTGCTGATCACTGTGCGACCTTGGCCTTGACCTTCTGGGCCTCAGTTTCTTCAGATGAGGATCTGACATTCTTCCTAGCACTAATTGTATGATTCTCTCAATCTGTGACAAAGTAGGGTGCACATATCTGAAGCCCTTGTCCTCTCAGGGCTTATGATCTAGGAAAAGTCATTTTGGTGAAGACGGGAAAGACCCTTCCGGGAGAGATGACTTTCTCCCTGATCGCTATGTCATGGCAGACCTGGAAGGGATCTTAGGATCAGGAAGTATGCTGGGAGATAAGAAGGGAATACCCTGAGATCATCCTATAGCTACTGAAAGTTAGTCATGACTTGAACTCAGGACATCTGACTATAAGTTCAGGGTCCTCTGGACTGCTGTCATCTTTACCAAGTGGCTGCAGCCTCCCTCACTGTGGCCCCTGCCCCATGCAGATCAGAGACCTGTGGAAGTTGGCAGAAGTTTCTCCTGGGTTCATGGGGGGCTGCTGCCTGCTGTGAATCCCATCTCTTGCCTTGCCAGGGAGCATTGAGTACAGCTGCCCGGCCTCCAATGAGTGTGAGATCACCAAGCGGCGGCGGAAGGCCTGCCAAGCCTGCCGCTTCACCAAGTGCCTGCGGGTGGGCATGCTCAAGGAAGGTGAGTGAGCAGAGGGGAGACCCTGGCCTGAGGGAGGGAAGGCTTGGCTCCTGCCTGGGAGGGACCTTGGTGGTCTGGGCTGAGGTGGATTTGTTATACTGAACCTACTCTGCACCGCCTCTCCCTTTTTTAGGGGTTCGTTTAGACCGGGTCCGAGGCGGACGGCAGAAATACAAGCGTCGGCCTGAGGTAGAGCCCCTGCCCTTTCCAGGACCCTTCTCCTCTGCTGCTCTGGCACCGCCAGGGGGCACTCGGAAGACAGGTGAGAAGCCGCTTGCCTGGGCCTGGGGCAAGCCTGGTTCCGGTGTGGAGGGCTCTGCAGGCCCTGCATGTGACTTGCCCCCTGCCTCTCTGTCCCTCCAGCCCCCGTGAATGCTCTTGTGTCCCACCTGCTGGTCGCAGAGCCGGAGAAACTATATGCAATGCCTGACCCAGCAGGCCCTGACGGGCACCTGCCAGCTGTGGCTACACTGTGCGACCTTTTTGACCGGGAGATCGTGGTCACCATCAGCTGGGCTAAGAGCATCCCAGGTGAGGGGTGTGCGGCTGGGGTGCCTGAGCTTCACGCTGGGCAGGGCCTCCTGACTCAGTTTCCTCGCCCTGATTGCAGGCTTCTCTGCCCTGTCGCTGTCGGACCAGATGTCGGTATTGCAGAGCGTGTGGATGGAGGTGTTGGTGTTGGGGGTGGCGCAGCGCTCGCTGCCCCTGCGGGACGAGCTGGCCTTTGCTGAGGACCTGGTTCTGGATGAGGAGGGAGCCCGGGCAGCTGGGCTGGGCGAGCTGGGGGCCGCACTCCTGCAGCTGGTTCGCCGGCTCCAGGCCCTTCGGCTGGAACGGGAGGAATACGTGCTGCTCAAGGCCTTGGCTCTGGCCAATTCCGGTGAGCCACATGCCAGGGAGGGGGGTGAGCTCTGTTCCAGGGTGGTGTCCCCCACGGTACCCCCAGCAGCCGGTGAGCACGCAGGGCTCCCACAAGAGAGAGGAGGGGAGCCTGGAGCTTCTGGGCCCTCTTAACTTGTCAGCTTGTTCACTGAGGTCAGAGGTGGGAGGGCCCTTGGGCATCATCTCCTTACAGATGAGGCAGTGGGGCACTGAAAAGAGAAGAGGCTCTCCCTGAGCCACAGACTAAGTAGACCAGCCAGGATTTGAACCTGGGTCCAGTGAGCTCTCTCTCCACTGAGTTATCCTGTGGCACGCAGAGCCCAGTTGGGCCCAGTTCTAGCTGACTCTTGTGTGTTGGACCCACATCATCTCATTGGATTCTCAGCTTCCCCCTAGATACACAGCAGGGTGGATCCAGGTGGGCTCCCTGGAGAGGGGCAGGGGCAGGTGGGCTGCCCCCTGAGTGGAGCCCTTCCCTCCCCCAGACTCAGTGCACATAGAAGACGCTGAGGCCGTGGAGCAGCTGCGGGAGGCCTTGCACGAAGCCTTGCTGGAGTACGAAGCTGGGAGGGCTGGCGGGGGCCCTGGTGGGGGTGCCGAGCGCCGCCGGGCTGGGCGGCTGCTGCTCACCTTGCCCCTCCTCCGCCAGACGGCGGGCAAAGTGTTGGCCCATTTCTATGGGGTGAAGCTGGAGGGGAAGGTCCCCATGCACAAGCTTTTCCTGGAGATGCTGGAGGCCATGATGGACTGATGGGGGGAGGGCTGTTGGTCTCGAGGACATGTGTGGGTGGGGGGGCGGTGCTGGCAGGACCGGCAGGGGTGGGGGGAGGGGATTGAGCCCCAGAAGAAGCCCAGGGGAGGGCATGGGCAATGCCCACAGCCTGCTGGCAGTGCCAGGGCAGTGTCAACAGCCCATGGGAACCAGGCCCATGCCCGCTCTACTCCCTTCCATAGGCACCTAGAGGAGCGAGGCTAGGCGGTGCTGCTCCAACCACTAGAGGGAAGCACTGCCCCTCGCAAGCCATAATCTACCCCCAGGGTTGGGGGGGCCTTGTGGAAGCCATAAAGGGGGGCTGCTGGGGAAACTGGGGTACCAGGGGAGAGGTAAGAGATCTCAGGGAGGGAAGGGTCGAAGGGCCCCGGCTTCCCCTTCGGTTAATGCTTTTTGCTGCTGCTTGGCCCATCCCCAGGGGCCTGGCTCCCCCCTCTAGCAGAGCCGGGGCTGGAGAGCAAGGACCCCGAACCCTTCCCTCCTTGCCATTTATACTGGGCATTATTACTGCCCCCAAACTCCAACCCTTCGCCCCCTTTAAAGCAATAAATCAGAGCTGGCTCCTCTCTTCCCCTTCCCCAACCTGCCCCTGGAGCTGGGCCAAGGGATGATCCCAGACCCCTGGGGAGGGGAGGGGGGCCACAGCATCTGCTCTGTCCCCTGCATAGCAATAACACTATATTTATTTTTAGGGTTTGGACTGAGGGAGGAGCAGGGGCCACTGGAGTAGGGCCTGGGCCTGCCTCCTCCCAGGACTGAGTGGGGGAACAGAGCTGTACAGAGACTCTATTTTAATGTATATTTGCTGCAAAGAAAAAAAAAACACGCGTTCAGTTTTGAACCTTTAATGAGGAAAAAAATATAACAGCAATCATACCATCCCCCAGGGCTCTGTGTGGTCTGGGGACTGTGGCTGGGAGGATGACTAGTGCAGCCTAGATGAACAATAATAAAAGATGGACATAAAGTAGGGGGCTAAAGCTCTGAGACCTAGGACGTTGCCTCGTCATCACTCAGCAGCATGTTGGGGATCCCTCGGCTGATGGGAAACAGGCGTCCAGATTCTGGGCACTGCAAAGTGCCCTCGACGACCTCCACCTGCAGGATGACCACAAGATGGGGAATTAGCAGGGGCTGGGCCTGGCAGGGACGCCACCCTGAGGCTGGAAGAACTCCAGGGAACTGGGAGAAGGGCTAGAGCAGCAGCCCCCTGGCCTGCCCAGGACCCTCACCTCTAACAGGACGTGGTGCACCTTCCTCAGAAAGTCTTCATCCTTCTCGTAGCCCTCCTTCAACTGCCTGGGCAGCTCAGACAGGTGTCCCAGCTGTAGGAAGGGACAAAGGCAGCTTGGATTACAGGCCGGGGGTCTGTCCTGCCCATGACCCCTAGATATTCCCAAGGTCACATCATTAACGTGTCTGGTGCCAAGCCCAGAGGCTCCGCTGAAACATTCCCCAGTCTCCACATGAAAAATCTTTCTCCTGGGGCCTGGGCCGTCCAGTCTGATCTCTGCCCTTCCTAGTGCAAGGTCCGACTCACTGCCGCCCCACAAAACCCCTGTGGCTTCCCCTCCAGGATAATGTAGCTACTGCCCAGCATTTATTAAACGCCTGCTGTTTGCCAGGCTCTGGAGGCACAGGGGCTCAGGCCCTGCACAACACTTCAGCATGAGTCCCCAAGTGCCTTCGAGCCGCCAGCAGGGTCCAGTTCTTTCCCTAGAACCCCCCCCCCCCATTTGGCAGGTGGGCCCTCGAGGGTCCGCTCTGTCCACTGTCCCCTGACCTGGGAATTTTTCCCCTTCTCTACCCAGCATGCACTTGGAGATAAGTGCAAACCACCGCGGCTAAAGCCTTGACAAATATTCAGTGCAGGGCCGGGCCGGGCCGGGCCGAACTTGGTCGTCCCTCAGCGTGAGCTTGTGGACTCCACGCCATCTCGCGTGGGCAGTCGGAGCGGCCATCGAGGCTCGGGGGCGGGGGGGGAGGGGGCGTGCGTGGGCGCTCACGCTCTCGGCCGCTTCCACCAGCGCCGTCCACTCCATCTTGGGGATCATGCGCGTCACGAAGTCCGGGTTGAAGTCCACGGGGCTCACGCGGATCTCGGTGGCCTGGGAGTGGGGGGGGCACACCGGGCTTGTCACGTGGGCTGCCGGCCGGGCACGGGCCCTTCCCCCCGCCCCACTCCGCCTCGAGTACCTGGATACGCAGCGGGAAGCCCCGGGGCCCCACCCCACGCACGTGGGAGCTCAGCAAGTTGTGGGTCAGCAGCTTCATCCCGGCCTGCGCGCGCATCCGAACCGGGACCGGAACCGGAACCGGGTCGGTGCCCTACATACGCCTGTTCCGCCTCTTCTCGCTACTTCCCCCTTCCGCTCGAGAACCCCTTTCCTCCCTCGGGCCACTTCCGGAAGAGGCGGGGCACCCCTCCCCAAACAGGATGTTTCGGGAGCCGCCGCTGCCCCACGGCTTTTAGTTCCGGAAACTTGTCGTTTTCCCGCCCCTAAATGCATAGTTGCACAGTTCGAGCCAGATGCGCATGCGCAGCCGCATCCTCGCTGCAGCCCGGGGCTAAGCTTCCTGATGCTGCAAGAGGGCGGTACCAAGCGCCGGGCGGGCCAGTGCGCGCATGCGTTCTCATACACCTTTCCCTGCGTTCCACTCGTGCAGGTGCATTTCTGCGCAAGTACACGTGTGTGCCTCTAGGTGGCGCAGTGGAGAACGTGCGGGGGAACCCAACGGAGCGTTTTCTTGACACTTTCAGGCCCCAAGCCCTTTTGGCCGGTTACTCAGCCTCTCCCAATCTCGGTTTCCTCATCAATAAAATTAGAATGAAATGGGTCTGGTTCCCAGGGGTGTCGTGAGGACCAAATGGGATAGTCTTAATAAGAGATAGCGTTTACATTTCTGGCTTTGCTGTTTGTCCTTCGTTCTCCAAGAGGACCATGTGACATGCAAGTGAACTGGATTTAAGCGAGGCAGGGCTGTGCAAAGTCACCAGCCTCACGTTCTCCTCCTGAGTCATCTGGGTCCAGTGGGAAGTTATCGATCAGGACCACTGGAGATAGCCCAGGATGCAGTGGGAGGCCTTGGCCTTTTTAAACTGAGGTCTTTAACAGGTCTCAACAAATATGGCCTTATTGAATCCTCACCACCATAGGAGGAAGGTGCTATTATTAAAAGGGCCGCTAGGTGGCGCAGTGGATAGCGTGCGGGGACCCGGAGTTAAGAAGACCGAGTTCTAATCCGGCCTCAGACGCTTCCTTGCTGAGCAAGACACCTAACCCTGTTTGCCTCAGTGTCCTCATCTGTTAAAATGGTATCTTTGCCAAGAAAACCCCAAATGGGGACACGACGCACAGGTCTGAGCACGTGGCCCCCTGTTGCAGATACAAAGTCCACTGTTTGGTATTCCAAGCCCTTCGTGTTCTGCCCCTCCTCCCTTTCTCACACCTCACTCCCAGGCCCTCTTCGATCCAGGGACGCTGGCCTTGAAGAAGACCCTCCAACCCGTGACTCAGTGAATTCTCACTATCTGCCACCCATGTCTGCAATGCTTCCCTCCTCATCTCCCCCTCCGATGGCCTTCACGCCCCAGCTAAAATCCCACCCCTCCCTTGGTTATCTCCAATTTATCTTTTGTTTGCTGTCTTCCCCTGTTAGATTGTGAGCTTCTCGAGGGCAGTGACTGTCTTTTACCTTACTTTGTATCTCCTGTGCTTAGCACAGTGCTTGGCACGTAGTAGGCGCTTAATAAATATTTTGACAAAGAGTCTATGGGTGATACCACATACAAACAAAGAAGCTACAAACAGGGGGCAGCGGGGTGGTGCAGTGAATAGAGAACCAGCCCTGGAGTCAGGAGGACCTGAGTTCAAAGCTGGCCGCAGGAGCTTGACACTCACTAGCTGTGTGACCCTGGGCAAGTCACTTAACCCCAATTGCCTCACTAAATAGAAAAAAAGGAGTACAGACATTATAGACAGAATGAACTGGGCTTAGTCTCAGAGGACTGGAAAGGTAGGAGGGTTCTAGGTGATGAAGGGTTTTGAGGATTTTGTATTTGCTCTTGGAGACCAGGGTAAACCACTGGGGGTTTGTGTGTGTGTGTGACATCTTCCGACCTGAACTTTAGGAAGATCAGTTTGGGGGCTGAATAGAGGTCGGACTGGAGTGGGGAGAGACCTGAGGCAGACACCCACCGGCGGGCTGTTTTAATAGGAAGTGGAGGCACCCAACGCAGAAGGCTTCTAAGCCACAAAGCCTGGGAGAGAGACACAACGATAGCTGGCACGGATGGCAGGATCGAGGGAGGGTGGAGAAGCCACGGGAGCAGGGCAGCGGGTACAGACAGGTGAGTGGCGGGGTGGGGGTGCGGAGGGCCCAGATTCTGGAGGAGATGGACTGGACCGGATGGGACGGCTTGGCCAGGAGAAGGACCACAACACCACGTGAGATGGGGCTGGAGGAGGAGAGGGGGGCACAGGGAGCCCAGAAAGAGGGAGGGGAGCGGGCTCTTGTTCTGGGTGCGCGGCCTCAGGTTGAGGCTCTCAGCTGAGCAGGGATGAGAAGGCTGCGTCACTGCACAGGAGTGCTCTGGGCTCGTTCACGCGGCTCCCCCCGCCTCCTTCACGCCACATGTCAATCACACGCTGAGCCGCGGCGACACTCCGCCGCCCGGACAATCCGGGGGCTCGTCCCCGCCCCCTTCAGCGCTTCGCCAATGAGAAGGGCGAGTCCCGAGGCTCGAGACCACCCTCCCTACGCTGCCCCTCCCCTCCCGGTTGCTGAGTGGCTCGTAGTCCCTAGACCCCGCCCCTTTATGCAAACGAGGAGCCCCGCAGGGGCGGGGCTTCATCCGGGGGCGGGCCTACGCGGAGCCCTGCGGGGATGGGGCTGGCCGGGCTGCTCGCCCTCGGGTGCCGCGCTGGGCCTGCTCTTAAAGGGGCGTGGGCAGCTGCCTCGGCGGCTCAGACCTTCTCTGCCGCGTCGGTCCGGACCCTGCGCAGCG